GTTACGTAAGCAAGGAATCCCAGAAACCAGGTTGCAGCTCTTGTCAAATGTGAGCGGAGTATTCTCACCCGGCGTTCTTACCGCATTAGTTGGGGCAAGTGGAGCGGGAAAGACCACTTTAATGGATGTTCTAGCTGGCAGGAAAACTGGAGGATACATAGAGGGGGACGTTAGGATATCTGGTCACGCAAAAGTGCAACAGACATTTGCCAGGATATCAGGATATGTTGAACAAAATGATATACACTCTCCTCAAGTTACCGTCGAAGAATCCCTATGGTTTTCTTCATCTCTTCGTCTTTCAAAGGAAGTCAGCGAAAATTTAAAACGTGTAAGCTGCTTCATTAGACAGTTTTTTCATTTTAATATCTGACTACGGAGAATTATTTTTCTTAGTATTTCTCGTTAAAATGTGTTATCTAGGAATTTGTTGAAGAAGTAATGAGACTAGTTGAGCTAGATACTCTGAGACATGCTTTGGTTGGCTTGCCAGGTAGTTCTGGCTTATCAACGGAGCAGAGAAAGCGATTAACGATTGCAGTAGAGCTTGTTGCGAACCCTTCCATTATTTTTATGGATGAACCTACATCGGGACTTGATGCACGCGCAGCCGCCATTGTAATGCGAACTGTTCGCAATACAGTTAATACTGGAAGAACGGTGGTTTGCACCATACATCAACCCAGTATTGATATATTTGAAGCATTTGATGAAGTTTGTTCTATTCTACTATATTCTAATCTGTTGACTGCTCTAATAACATTCATGACACTCTTGTCTGGCTTGAAGAGTCTAAACTTCGTTTTTCCTTTTAGTTACTTCTAATGAAACGCGGGGGTCGGGTGATATATGGAGGAAAACTTGGTTCGCAGTCACAGATAATGATAGACTATTTTCAGGTGACATTACAGTTTATTTATTCTACCAAGATCTATATTCTGAATCTATAAGAATTCATGAGATATGAATTTATATTATCTGTGGCACCTGCTAAATCAAATGGAATAAAAAAACGTCCTGCTTTGCTTACAAATTGTGAGGTTTTGCTAATATGTATAGCTATGAACAGAATACAGTAGACATGTAAATCTTGGAAGTTTAGGTCCTGTATTTCATTGGTTAAATATAAAATGATTTTGCATAATTTGTTCTTTCAGTTGTCACTAATTTTTCGTGTTATTATTTTTCTATTTTCTCTGCAGAGTATCAAAGGAGTATCCCCTATTCCAGGTGGCTACAATCCAGCTACTTGGGTGCTTGAGGTAACTACCCCTGCTGCTGAAGAGAAACTTGGCGTCGATTTTGCTGATATTTACAGGAACTCCGAACAATACAGGTATTTTGATTATGCGCGAGCTGTTTCTCTGTGGTGCTCCTAGAGAAGTCTCTCTCTCTCTCTCTCTCTCTCTCTCTCACATTCCCATATGCATTCCGAGATGAATGAATAAAATATTTCTTATAAATGTTTAATTTACCTCAGGACGGTGGAACAATCTATTAAGGAATTCTCACATCCTCCTCCTGGTTCAGAACCACTGAAGTTTGACTCCATGTATTCACAAAACCTGATGACCCAACTTTTGTTGAACTTACGGAAACAAAATCTCGTGTACTGGAGAAGTCCACAATATAACGCCATGAGGTTATTCTTCACCACAATCAGTGCTTTAATATTTGGTTCCGTATTCTGGGACGTTGGTTCAAGAAGGTGAACATCCATGCTATCTCATTCTCATATTCTTGTGTCTCATGAAGGGAAATATCTACATACAAATGCGTACAAAAATATCTCTTATAATGGAGGTTGTAAATATTTTGTAGGGCCACAACTCAAAACTTGATGGTTGCTATGGGAGCTCTTTATTCCGCGTGCTTGTTTCTTGGTGTGAATAATGCTTCTTCCGTACAACCAATTGTTTCTATAGAAAGGACGGTCTTTTACAGAGAGAAAGCTGCTGGAATGTACTCTCCAATCGCATATGCCGCAGCCCAGGTTTTAATGTTTTATTACTCTGTATATACTGGAATAAGAGAAAATTGACTTCAGTTATTGGTGTAAGGAGAGAGTTTTTTTTTTTTTTTTTTTTAAATGCCTGCGCCAGAGACAAATTTTCAAGATGATGTCCAAGGTTGAACAACTTACGCAAGTATCATCATCCCTTCATTTGATCAACAGGGTCTTGTGGAGATCCCATACATTTTTGTTCAGACGATTGTCTATGGCATAATCACATATTTCATGGTCAATTTTGAATTAACAGCGGTAAGATTTCAGCTTATATATATATCATATGTATTTATATTAGAGGCAATCCTATTCAAAGCATGGTGAAATATTGAACATAAGCATTTTTCCTAACAAGAATTCTAACTTTGGCTTGTCATGTTGTGAGAAATTAGTCTATTTTATTAGACCCAATCTTATTGGTCAACTTTATATTTAAAAATCTATATTGCTTGAAGATTTTGGACTTGGGGATATCCCACAAGTTTTAGTGATTGAAACAGGGCCGTCTCATTTTTTTGGGCCCCTTATCTAAGATGTCTTTGATGGAACTTTGTAGTTAAGTCATTTAAAATTCAATACCTTACGATGTTAGATATGAATCTTTGTGTTTTGTATGAAGTTTAAAGAATAAACTGTATTGTTTAGAACTTGTAAATATGATTCATTATGAATTTTATTGTATACATGCTGAAAACTCAACAACATTATCCATAGACATTTCAGATGTATTTTATATGTAGCATAAAGATTTAATTGGTTACTTATACTTGCTTGTTTACTATGGACATTTGCGCTTTAATTACATGAAAATTTATAACGCATGCCTCTTAAATTATTTTATTGAATATCTATTAAAAAAGCATGCTGGTATTGTTTCGCCCCACTTTAGCAATGCCTCTCTACATTTGCAACACTTGCAAATTCTGAATGATAATTTCATTCGTAATTGTATGTTTTCTTTTCAAATAAAAAGAATGAAAGGAGCCAGAGTATTTTCCTTTTATTTCAAACGTATCCCAACTCCCAATTTTTTAAATGGTTGTGTTTGTCTTCTAAATATTGACCATTAATTAAAGCTTACTTATTATATATTGCAGGAAAATTCATCCTCTATCTTGTATTTATGTTCTTGACTTTCACCTACTTCACCTTCTACGGCATGATGGCTGTTGGTTTGACCCCGTCCCAGCACTTGGCGGCTGTTATTTCTTCCGCATTTTACTCTTTATGGAATCTTCTCTCGGGTTTTCTGATTCCAAAATCGGTGAGTAATATACTAATATGCTATACTTCTGGCTAAAAATTGCTCCATAATTTTAGTTGGGGATATACTTATTTCTTTCTGGGCCTCAAAATTTTTTTTTAAAATGAAATAATTAATCATTCATGAATTAAGCAGCGTTATACTTTCAGTCATTTAAATTATACTATATTCAAGGTAATAAAGTTGTTAATGGCTTGCACGTTACAGAGTATTCCGGGGTGGTGGATTTGGTTCTATTACATCTGCCCAGTTGCATGGACGCTACGTGGTATTATAACATCTCAGTTTGGTGATGTTGAGACTATCATTGTGGGACCTGGATTCGAGGGAACTGTGAAACAGTACTTAGCTTCAAGCCTTGGATATGATCTTCAGATCAATGGAGTTTCTGCAGTGCTGGTGTCTGCTTTAGTTCTTATTGGCTTTATTCTCGTCTTCTTTGGGTCCTTCGCTGTATCCGTCAAATTCTTGAATTTCCAGAGAAGATGATTGGATAACACGGTTCCAAAGGGATTAGAGAACTCGCTTTAATAATTAATACATGTACATGACACTCTACGTTCCACGCTACCTGAGGGAAGCAATATATATTGCCCCACTCAAAATTATGCTAATGAAAAGTAAACGTATTGCAAGTTCTCTTTTGTTGAACATACGATAGTACCAGAATTGTTGATACGGGAGGACTAGAATTCTTTGTAGATTCGGGAGCTCTTTATACTTCTTGCTTGTTTCTTGGTATCAGCAATTCTGAAGCATGGAACATAGTACTAATGACTATTTAGTCTCTGACTGACAGGGGCTTGTGGATTTCCCTCCCATATGTTGCTATTTAGACACTATTAGTTGGTTTAATCACATATTTTATGATCCATTTTAGTTTAATTTGGAACTACAATTGAGAATAATTTTGGAGTCCGCTTTGCTCCTCCGCGTCTTTGCTCCTCCTTTGCTCCTTTTGCTCCTCTGCACTCAGGAGCAAATTTAGACTGTCCGCATAATCCTTTTATTTTTATTTTTATTTTATATTTATTAAAATATAACATTTATTAAATTATTTTATAAATAATTATTTTCGTAATATAAATCTAGACTGTATTGGCGATTAGATTTATTGGAATATACTTTTTATAATGTTTATAACTATTTTATTTTAATAAATATGAAATAAAAAAATTAAATCTAAACCGTCTAGATTAATCTGAATGGTTCAGATTTGCTTTTGGGTGCGGAGGACTCAACTCCAATAATTTTAACTCTCACATTTTAAGATACTTCTTTCTACATTGGCTTGGTGTCCACTTAAAATTTACAGGGACAGGACACGGGACCTCAGCATCCACGTCACGAGCATCGATGGAAGTCCCGACCAACAGTCTGTCCCTAACCATTGTTACTTGATGTCTTTAGTTACACATTAGTCAGTACTTAATACAATCTTTATCATTCTCTTCCCCTTTTTTCCCAAAAAAAAAAAAATCCTCGTTTCTCAAATTTGTAGTTAAAATTATTTTATTTTATTTTAAATTGAAAATGATTAAAACCACTCGCATTTAGTTAAGCAATTCTAAAATATTAATGTTTTTCTTGTTTCTTAGGAAAAGAACAATGAATCCCGCTTAACTGGTAAAATGAACTCAAGTAAGAACGCCAATTCGCCAAATATGTTGATATACAAGCATGCTGCATGCATGATGGTTCATTGATAATTTATTCATACATTCCATATGATGAGATTTTTTTTATTATTTCTTTCTCTTCAGTAAATTAGGTACAGGAAAAATTATCCTTACAGGAAATGAAACAAAAAGGGAAAGACCGTACAAACGTTATTGCGAACCCCAGAGGTCAAGAGTGAAACTTTATTACAAAGAAAGCACTACACAGAGCCTTCTTTCAACCCTATTATATAGTTAACCTTGTTTTTTCTGGTTTGTGATAGCGCTCAACACCTGAGTTTGAAAATGTAACAATTTGAAGCATAAAGGGGCATCCAAACTCTCCATCCCAGTGAAATGTGGTTCAAATTATCTTTGAGATCCATAAAACGGCGACGCTTTGGTTCTTTTGTTAGCTTTCTGAAGCAGCCAATATGTGAATTAAGCCACTGGTCAAGTCAAGTGGCCATGGCATCCGTAGATGGTTGAAATCTAACATTCTCGCCTGGAATTTGATCTGCACTCAGGAAATCAAACAGTCAAATAAAAATAATTGTTATTATGGTAATAAAAAACTCCCCAAAATATTATTTAGCCAATTAACTATACATTAATGTATTTGACGTATATCATTCACGTTAGAGACTGCAAGAGCATCACAAAGTAGGAAGATTCTCCTTATCACATCTTGTTTATTAATTAAACTTTAAGATGATGCATTTAAGGGGGGATTGATGCCACCTCCTAACAAGATGGAAAATAAATTTCAAATGTTTAAAAGTTTTAGAGTTGAGAAAGGCACTCACTGGCAAATGGAACTTTATAAACAAAAAAGCATGCAGCAATGACAATGTAACACAGCGAAAGCACCACTCCTTTCATGTAGTGTGAAGTTCCATCCTAAATGTAAATAGAACAAAATCAAACGGGTTAAATAAAATATTTTATACTCAGTAATAATATTATTAATAGTAGTCAACATCCATAAAAGAAATTGTGAGTACCCAAATTACCTGCAAAGTGAAAGCTGTGACTATTATTGTCAGAGCAAGACACGCAGTTTCTAGGAGATTAAAATCTAGGTCCATTTTTACTCCCATTATCCATGCAACAATCACACTTAATGGAACCTGAGACATTGATCATTACATAATAAGAATTTAACTACAAGCAAAAATTAGATTAATCAATGACTTTGTCTATATAATCTTAGTTGTTTAGTAGTGTTACCACAAACATAGAAATTTGAGTTGCAGATCCCATAGCAACACCTAGCGATATATCCTGCAAAATAATTAAGGAGTAATATGTAACTTTTCGAATTTATTAAGAGCCCAGAAACTCAAGTTTAAGAAGTGATGAAAATGAAAAATCATACCAGCTTGTTCTTAAAAGCAAATATGATTGAACCAGCATGTTCTGCAGCATTCCCCACAATTGGGAGCAAAATTATGCTAATGAAGCTTACAGAAATACCCCAAGAATCTGAAGCAGCCTACTTAACAACATTTAAACAAGAATCAACCAAATCAAATATCCATAAATCTAATTATGTGGATATATATGAATGTCTCTGTGTGTGTGTACCTCAATAGTTCCCACAACATATTCAGAAAGCAAAGATATGAGGAGTGTCATGCCCACCAACCAGGTAAACGCAACCCAAAATCCTATCACAGCCTTCTCTTCTTCATCATCTTCCTGATCATCATTCCATTAAAACAGTCGGCTCAGGGATTCATAAATATTCTACCAAAACATTTCCTTTTTCATCTCGCAGAACAAAAACAGAGTTGTTTTATAAAATTTTAATGGGACCCAGAATGGGGCGGGGGGACTTGGGTGGATTCTAATTCATTACCTCTTGTGAATCAAATAACTGTCTGTGAGTTTTCAATTGGAAAAAGATATAAGCAACATAAGCCAGAAGCATGACAATACTACTTGCTCTTGACAATTGAAGAGTACAAGTAGCGATAGGGTAATGGTCCCCTGCTAGGGCATACTTGAAGATCAATGGCAGCAAATGACAAAGCAATCCCAAAAGCAAAAGGAGTGAGTTTACATCTGCTTGTTTCTGTTCAAAGTAACACCATTAAAGAAATAGATTAGAAGATCGAGTTTTGAGGAATGAACTATTAAAGAAGAGAAGAAAGAAGACATACTCTGTCATACTTCTGTTCTTTCTTGAGGTTGGCAAGGCCTCCACAGAGAAGTGAAGAGCCAAGAACTAAGAGGAGATTAGAGAGAATGGAACCCAGAAGAGAGAACTTGACAACATTGATTTTGTTCTTGTGAAGTGCCAGTAGTGCTATTATCATCTCAGTTGCATTCCCACATGTTGCATTGAGAAGCCCTCCAACTGGCACACATTATTATTATTATTATTATTATTATTATTATTATTATTATTATATGTAAAGTTTGTCAATGTTTCGTTATATTTGCATAACCATAAATGACTTTTATATGATGAAAATGGAATGGTAGATATATACCTGTTGGGCCAGTGAAATATGCGATTTGTCTTGAATCCCCAAAGAGTGCGTCACGAAAAAGATAAAAAACAAATTAAAGTATTAGGAAAAACAATTGATAGGTCAAATTAGAGTGTGAAATTGAGTTGGGTTGATAAAGGAAAACAAAACTTACTCGGTGAGGAAGCTGACACGTTCAGCTAGAGGGGCAAGTCCAAGTAAGCTCAGAGCAAATATCCATGCCTGCATTTAATTTGCACATCCAAGTTATCAAAACCATTCATTCTTTAAATTATTAAATACCTTTTTCTTGAAATGGCCCTTGTTCAGTTGGGGACCAACATGCTTCCCAGAGTTGACAATTCACAAATAAGTATGATGAGTTTGGAATATTTGTCTCCGCTGCTGTTATAATTTTGAAACCTCTTAACTCATTTTCAATTTTTTTCTACAATTTATACAGTTCAGGCCTCCATTAGTTCAAGGGCTTGTGTTTGCCACTGCCCTTGTTAATTACATTATGAAAGGCAAATTTGGAACCAATAACTCAGTAAGTAAGATGACCAAACTTTAACTAAGGATGGATATGGAAAAAAAATTTGTTTTGCAATAAACTTTAACTCAATAAGTAAGATGACCAAACTTTCACTGAGGATAAATATGGGAAAAAATTATGTTTTGCAATAAATTGAAAGAGTTTGAAAATTTTATTAATATGCATAAATGGAGGTGGTCAACAATGGAATTTTAATAATCACACAAATTCAAGCTTTAATGTCACTAGTTAGGAATGCATAGCAATCATTTAAAAAGCGAGAAAAAGCAAACATCGAGAATAATAAGAAGAGACCACATTTCAACTCAAAATAATTTAAATTTATAAGTTATTCTTTTTTATTTTATATTAATTATTAAACCTCACTTATATTTATTTATACTCGAACGTCTTAAACATATTAAGCCTGACAATGAAAATAAGAAGCTTACCCGTCCAAAGTCATAGGTATCAGCGGCGACGGCGAGAGGAACGGCGGGAAAAAGCACGGCAAGCTTGGTGCCGAAGATGACCTCTTGCAAGTTTCTCATCACTTTCCTCAACACTTGACCTCTCGTCCCTCCTTCACTGTTCTCTCTCTGCATCGTCACACTCTTCTTTCCACTTCCCTCTCCTTTCTTCTCTATGTCCTCTTCCATCTTTCCCTCTGTATCTCTCTCCGTGGATCAGAGGTATTAATATATATGTAACGCAGCTATATATAAGCATCAATGAAGCTTACTGAGTGGTCGTGTAAGTGGTCGTATACATTGATGAATCGAATTGAACGCTTTCTGATGATCTGATATTGGAGCTTGAGGAGTACTTTAAATTGGGATAGTGCACAGTTTGAAGCTTCCAGGAACTTTCGTAGCGTTTGCTCGCATGAGCCACGTACCTCTCTTCCCTTCCTATCCTCTCTTCATAGGTTCTGCACTCCTGTGCAACCGCTTGCTCCTCCCGATCTCAGTCCTTTTTGTTTCTTTCACTCACAAACAAAATATTTATTCACTATTTCGTTCAATTTCATTTTTTTTTTCGTATTAAAAAAATAGTTACCCACCGATTCAGTAAATAATAATACCCCTGCATGAATTAAACAGAAACTTAACCATGCCCCATTTTTTTTAACTGTTCGTGTAATTGATTACATGGAGTAAATTGTAGGTGTTAATTAAAGAATATACTAATTAATGGATAAAATGTGGGTCACTGGGATGTATGGTTAATATTATAATATTGAAAAATAGGCTAATTAGGTCAATTAAACTGATATATCATTGAACCAGTACTTTGATCCATTTAATAAAATATTTTGTTTTCATGAATGGTTTAACCAAGATCTAATTATAATTTTAACAATTATTTCTTGAGTGCCTTGATTAATTATTAGTCTAGTTTTTAGTACTTGGTTAATTATAAATGTTACACAGCAAGTATTAATAAACTGTATATGTTCGGAATGGCTTCATTTGATATTAGAACCGGGAAGGTTGCAGCTTAATTGAAAGTCTATTTTTAGCGTTAACTCAAATTTACAAGCTAAGTTTAAAATATTCTCGGGGTATAATAATCGGGTCAACTGAAAATTTATTGATATACGATGTCTAAATGGAAAATTATTTTGATAGCTAGGATGAGTAAAATTTGACATAAGATTCAATATCAATGTTGATATAAACATGACAAGAAGTGATATTAATGGTTTATTTGCCTGAATGAAGGCTATCTTGTGTGATACGTGGGCGAGAAGAAAAATGCAGAGTTAAACGGTAAAATATAATTTATTCATGTCTATTCATGACATTTTTTTTATCAACTATATATATAATATACACTTATTCATGATATATTTTTATCAACTATATATGTATTATGTATGTGTGTGTCTACGTTGAGAAACTGAATAAAACCATGAAATAGACCAACAAAATGGAAAACCTCAAAAGACAGCAAGTTGTCCCGTGAAACCAGTGACAGGGGAAGAGGCATCCAAAGGCGATGAATCGAATATCATGTCCATAACCAGAAGGCGTAAGGGTGAGAAGTAAATTTCTGGGAATTTTCGATGCGCAACTAAACTTCAGTGGGGTGATCGTCGTTTTCCTCTCTCGGCTGCGTTCCGGTGCTCCGAGTGTTGCTGCTTCTCCAAGACAATGAAAACGTTAAGCGAAATTTCCAGCCGCACTGTCGTATTTACCATCCCTCAACTTTACTTCATTTGTACTGGCTTGCTTGCCTCCCCATTTTTGTTTTTGACCGTGCAGCTGCTCAACCTGCAAATCTAGCCCTGTGAATGAAATGAATAGTCAAATATTCATATGATTAATTATTAATTAATGTGAAAGATACTCCTCTGGTATTTCTTGTATATTAGTCACTTCTTGAAAGTATAATCTAGTTTATATTTTAAATCACTAATTGATAGGATTGTTTTGTTTTAAATTAAAATCATCATATTACCTTGGAAAAGTAAGAGAAAGACAAAAAAAAAATTATATTATGTGTTTGCTTTTTATTTTTATTTGTGAGTTGTATTTAAAATTTCCCTTATTGTTATTCTTATACTTTGTATTGATATTGATAAAGTTAGTAAAAATGATTTGTAAATAGGACCGAATGGAGTATAATAAAATTTGGAAGCCTGAAATGATTTTGTCTTCTTATTGAACCGAACAACCATCTTCCTCACTTTTAATATCAACACATTCCAAGCATAGACATTTCTCATTTTTTTATTAGAAACGTCTATCCTTCTATTAATGATAATATTCTTCAAGATACAATCAAGAGCGCTAAATTTAAACACTCCTTTCTTTGAGAATTTGAATCTTGTTCATTATATTGTAAATTTTACTAGACTTAACTCTTATTAGTTACATGTTTCTCATTTTAAAATCATAACAAAAATTCATGTGTTATTGACAAATAACAACATAATAATACTCAACTTTCAAGTATCAAAGAAGCTACTTTATATTTCTTTAATTTTTTATAAACAAAAATTACAAATTTTAAGAAGTATTAATTACATTTTTCTCAATTTGTCTCTCATACAGATAGTAGTGTTAAACTAGAGGGGAAAATAAACATTGATTATAAGGGAATTTTAATTTAAATATTTTATTTTCATACATAATTATAATGATTAGTCATTTTTTCTTAAACTGTATGAGTTTGTTGAAATTTTCTTGCATTAACAGGGGAAGTAGGCATTAGCTTATTTGAAGACACTACAGCTGTTTAAACATGATATTTTAAGTTCATATTTTTTTGTGTATTTTAATCCTATAATACCTGAATTCATCGCAGTAATCAATATAAGATAAATATGAAGAAAAATTTCAAATGTCACAAAAAGAACATTCCCAACAAATTGAGATTAATTAGGTAATAGGTTTTAGAAGAACATATTTTGGGTCAGTGTCACAGGCCGTGCTGATCGCAGCACCGCATTCCTTGTTTAATATTGATATGTTCGAGCGTGTATAAATTATAAATATATGTCTCCCATTTTTATAAACAAGGACTAGATTAAGGGTAACACTTTTAAAAAAATATATAGTTTTTGCTTCTCAAATGTTATTTTTTATTAAAATAATCTTATTTAAATAATTATTAAGCACTAAATATAAACATATCTTTTAACAAGAATTAAAAATAATAATGTATTTTGGAATAGTGTGTTTTGAACTATTCCTTCTCCCCCTTATTCTATAGGAATTTGGGCGAGATGGGCTCTATTTTGTTTTTGGCAGGAAACGTTTGATTGGGCCCAAATGTTTTCAATCGTATAGGGCCAAATGAAGTTTTAGATATAAAGCGGAGTTACATACGCAAGATATTGCGGGCCCATAAAATTTAATTCATGTAAAAAATCATCTCTGCATTTCATCGGGGGAAAAAGGCGTCTTTGCAACTGTGCAACTGGGCATCGTTCATGACTTACTCTCTCTCTCTCTCTTTTAAAGTAAATAATTAGTTTTGCAAATTCATTGAATCAAATTTATATTTCATTTAAAATAGTTCAAAAATAATAGATTTTCGAACGAATAAGTGTAAATTAAATCTTAGATTTCTTTTATTTTGACCCATCCGCAACTCTACAGGCTTATTTTACTGATTTTTTTTCCCTTTCTCTTGCTCTTTTTATGTGTTAGTACATGTTTTCACTTTAGCTACCAATTTTTTTTTTTTAAAAAAAAGAAGTGTTCTGTTTTTAGTAACAAAAGATGGAAATAGAAGTTTCTATCAATTTTTCCCCTGTTGGCCATGACACAAGGGAAATTTCAAGACCAACTAACTCAATAGAAGAAAAAGGAAAGGGGGGAAAACGCGCGAGCCAAGCACTCAACCAGAAAGCGGAAAGAACAAGGGAAGCTGAGCGCATCAAACCCTAGAAAATGGCGGAGAAATTGGCCCCTGAAAAGCGTCACAACTTCGTCCACAACGGTATTTTTAGGTTCCAATTTCTCGATTTCTTTTGTGTTTTTCATTATGATCACTGAATAAGACATCTGCGATCCCATCGGTTTGTGTGATTTAGGTAGCAAGGTGTTTGAGTGGGATCAAACCCTAGATGAGGTGAATATGTACATAAACTTACCTCCTAATGTTAGTACTAAACAATTCTATTGCAAGATTCAGTCGAAGCACATCGAAGTTGGCATCAAAGGCAATTCTCCATATCTCAATGTAAGCAAAGATTCCCATTTCATACTTCCTTTCGGTTCATAAGCTTTTTCCGTTGATTATACCTTCGTCCCTGTATTTTCTCATTATTTCGAGGGGCTTTTTGTTTCATTTGGCATGCTGTCTCAGCACGAGCTTACTTGCCCGGTGAAGACGGATTCTTCTTTCTGGACACTAGGTAAATGTTTTGAATTTCCCTGCTTGCTGTTTGCCATTCATTGATTTGTGCTCCCGCCCGCTCAAGTATGTTAATACAAATGATTTTTAATTTTTCATCTTCTTCAGTTTCTGATAGCTTGATATTGGAAATCAATTTAGGGTGCTCAGATTAAAGGTCTCGGATTTGGATGTACCAAATCGTCATTTTACATTGATACGCTTAAGTTCCTTGGTATTTTATACGCTGATTTTGGCTCTTGTTGCGCAGAGGATGACATAATGCACATAACACTGCAAAAGAGAGATAAAGGTCAGACATGGGCTTCTCCAATATTAGGTCAGGGTCAGCTGGATCCTTACTCTACTGATCTTGAACAGAAGCGCCTCATGCTTCAGAGATTTCAAGAAGAGGTGAATTTTGCTTTCATCATTGTTTATTTTCCGAATCATGTTTTAAAATAAATGATTGCTGTCTAATATGATGAGCATGACACTTGGTATTAGTGTCAAGCATGTTTCAGATAAGCACTGCTGAAATATGTTAAGTGCCCTGAATAATAAGGACTGCTGCTTTTGTTCCGTAGTGGCTGTTTACTGAGAATGTGAAAGCATTTTAACAAGGATGCTTTCAGATATGCTACACCAAGGCCCTGTTTGGTATTAAGTATTGAATTTTGTGGTATTGGGAATGGGAATGGGAATGAGATTGGGATTGGGATTGATAGTAGGAATAAATTTTAAAATCATGTTTGGTATGTCATGGGATTAAAAAAAATAAGACTGGGATTAAAAAAAAAAAACTAGTAAAAAGACTCAAATACCCACTTGCCATTTCACCCTCTCAATTGATCATCTGAACTCATTGCCTCTATCTCACCCTCCCAGTCAATGTCGCAACTTCTCACAAAAGAAGATTCATCACACAAATTTGAGAAGCGAGGACGACGCTGGGAGAATGGCGTTGACGAAGGTTGTCGATAGAGGAGAAGGAAGGTAGAGGTTGGAGATCGTCGAAACAGGAGAAGGAAGCTGGAGGGTCGGAGGTCGTCGAAGCAGGAGAAGGAAGATGGAGGGTTGGAGTCATGACGGAGGGGGAGGAAGATGGAGGTCGAGGGTCGTCGAAGCAAGAAAAGGAAGAGATCGTCGAAGCAAGAGAAGGAGGAGATCATCAAGCAGGAGAAGGAAGATGGAGGGCTGGAGTTGTCGACGGAGGAGAAGTCTGGCAGCCATCAATGGAAGAGAAGGAAGGTGGAGGTTGAGATTCGTGGACTGAGGAGAAAATCTGCGTCTTTTTACAGGGGCATTTCAGTCAAAAAAATTTCAATCCCAGGTTAGATTTTCCTGGTGGGTTTGAGTATTCCCACCTAAGTGGTATTGAGCAGTCCCAAGGATTGTCGAATGCTTCATACCAAACATGTAAAGAGTGGTATTACCCAAACCCAATCCCAATCCATGCCCTCTGATGCCACATACCAAACAGGGCCCAAGTGTCCTGCCTATTTCTACTTCATATGGATGTGAGATAATTGCTTGACATTCTGATTCCAGATTGACATGGTTGAATTCTGATCAGTTGTTAATTCTGATCAGTTGGTTCTGGACCATTCAAGTTCTGTTTCCTCCATCTGAACTCGACTTTGATTGCTTTTGAATTGTGTTTTTGGAGCAAGTAAGGTGGAAATATGTCCTTAGGGATATGACATGATATTCATCTCAAAACTGTTCCAGAATTTCCTTTCATGGCCATTCTATTGGATGGTAGATTGCTGGAATTTCTTAGCGAAACTTAATTGCTTTCATGCACTTTAACAAGGAAAAGAAGAGTGTTTTTACACAGGTTACTGTTGTCTTTTGTGTTACTAGTGAATTTCTCAGCCATTTAAGGCTTCTGCTTGAGTTATTTTCCTCCATTTGTTCCAATCCCTCCTAAATTGGAGCTCAAGTTCTGAGTGTTTTGAAATATCTATCACGGTTCGCCTAAAATTTGGAATTTCTTGAAGTTCTCGTGTTTTCTGTAATAGAATTATGGTTCTAATGTTACCTAACTATTATAAAGCTACAAATACAGTTAAGTATGTGTTATTAATTTAGGCAATAAAGTTTCCAAGTAATCTACTCACAGAAGAAAAAATAATGTATTTGTACTGGTCATTTCTTGCCCTACTGTGAGGGATGTTATTGCAATATCTTTAGCTGAGCGATGTCTTGGGGCTGGTTGTTAGACTTAGCTCCTCTATCTCAAGAGTGGTTATTTGGGCGCAGATAATTGGTCTTTGAATGTCGTGTTTTCATACATTTGTTTGGGGGGAGGGGGGATTTTAAAAATTAGGAGTTGGCATACCTACTAATATAAAAGTCAGATTTCTGTCACCTACTTCTGTTTGGGTTCATATTGAGTTTGTTCGAGCTCTCTATAATTTTGGTTAGAGAACACTGATAAATGCTGACAACGTGGATATACATTTTTCATTACAAGAGAGGCCACATGAAGGAGGGGAATTTTTCTGGGTAGTTGTTATCGGTAGATTCAATTTATGTTGAGATGGTAATTCTGCTCGATAAGACAGATTCATCAATTTTGACGGATATTATTTCCCGTACATTTGCTATATGTTAATTTTGTAAACGCCTGCCATTCATGATATTTGTTCAAGCAGTAGGAATTTTCGTAATCTGCTCTGGCCACTGAAATTTCTACATTCATCAGTTAAAAATGGAATAATGAAGTTCTAAATGTCTAAAGAGAGAGGAAAGATTGCAATTCATGAATATGGCTTTCATTGTGCAGAATCCTGGTTTTGATTTCTCACAAGCTCAGTTTACCGGAAACTGTCCTGATCCGAGGACCTTCATGGGTGGAATACGATCTGGTTGATGGTCTTCGCTGCATTAATTATTTGTATTTTTCGGCTTCTGGCGATTATCAGATGGTAAATCCACTTGTCTTTACTTGTTCAGACCCCCTAGTGGTTCAATGCAGACTTTATATTGAACGACAGAACGTCAGCGTTAATCCTGGCTGGCCAGTGTTTACCCCTAACCATTTGGAACTTTTTAAGTAAATAGTGTGTAAAACTTCAGTGAAGATAATCGTGAATCAGCTAATAATTATTCTCAGATGTCTTGTGGATTTATTTTATATGAAATATATATATGATATGGGGATCAGTATGCGTTGATCAAATGGAGCTGATGTTGTGTACTAACCAACCACTATGTATTTCTCAAGGATGAGGAAAATAAAATGACAAAAAAAATCTAAGCCATCAATTGGAACTAGCATCAGCTTCTGGGTGCCTAACACGCGGACAAATGACTGGTCACCATTTCTTTGTGTCCAGATATTGGAGAATCACATCCCAAGCGCATTATCTAGCCAGCCGTGTTAGTGGGACCATGATTGGTGGCTTGGTGAAACGTAGATATGAACGATCACCGACAATATTTTGAGCATCTTTGTTCTCTTTAATTGATCGCTGAAGAGGAACATGCCCTCCATCATTAACCGTATAATCATCACCTTTTGATTATATCTTATATACTTTTTGTAGTAACCTTATTGTTGTCAATAGGTTTTCACGCAGGAATTAAACAAAATGGTCAAGCTTCAGCGTGGCTGATCTCACCTCTTCTAAATTTGGACTTAAATCGTTTAAGGTTGAGATTCATGAGTCTTTGTGAAGTATTTCGTAATCATGTTTTTCTTATTTTATTATTTTTTTATAAAATACAAAGTCCTTTCACTCTTCTTTAAAATGATAAGCTTCATGGGATTCATGGATTCTTGATTTTAGAGAACCTATACCCTCTAAATTAAGTCATTTAAAGTTAAAGATATCTTATGGCCAAAAAAGAAGGAAGAGGAGATGGGCATCTATAATTTTACTTTATATTTAAATTTATCTTTCAATTAAATTGATGTATTTTGAAAAAAAAATTTAATTAAGTGAACGTACAGTTTGGAAGTGTATAAATCCTTGACCGCGTTTTAGTTATTGTGTTCATATATATAGTTCCATTGTCGAAATTTTAGTTGATTTAATTGTTAAATTAAGAGTGACTCAATTTATTCGAAGGGTTTGTATGCAATACGGTGGGTTGTTTGTTTATTTGACCATTTTGTTTAGCCATTTTTTTATCACTCATATCTAATATCTATATTCTTATATCTCATGATTTTACTTGTAATCGCCATGTACATAAATCATGATCTTATATTCTGCATAATGCATGGGTCCACGGTCTATCTATCTATTTAACTGCTAATTTTGTGTATATTAATAATTCTTTGAGAGATCTACGTGATAAAATTGAATAAATATGGGGAGACGATTGAACACGATAGTGTTTGGGATAATTTTTTAAAATCTAAGTAGCAACAATTTCCTTGATTATCAGCATATCAGTATCAATCAATATATATTTATTTATGGAAAATGCAATACTCTTGAATCATGAATAATATGTCTCATTCCTAATAATTTTTACAATATATGAGAAACATATTTATTATAAAATATAAGTGTGTGTGTGTGTGTGTTTACAACATATGTATAGGCTAGTTTGTTAAATTTTTTTCATGAAAAAAATTATTTTGTAAAATTTTATGATATTTCCTAGCATGTGAAAATAATCTGATAAAATACATGAGAAAAAAAGTAAATAATATACAAAGATACCCGAATATACCACAAAATCTAAAAATCACTGTATAATAATATTTTTTGTTATTATAACCAGGCATAAAAATGTATATTTTTTAATAAAATTTATCTTTTTTATAAATCTCTAAATTATAAAAAATTACTTTTTTATTTCTCGAGATATTCTCATAACACGTAGGTATTTGACTATTCATCACTTCAGCATAATGCTTAAGGGGCCTGAACCTATTGTATGTGTCACATCATTTTAATAAAAATTACTTATTTTTTATTCTTAAAGAAATGAGTTCATCTAAGGTTTGTTTAACCAAATATCTAAGGTTTATATAATGGGAAAAAATTAATTAAATATTTATATATTCACCCTGCAGAAAAGGTTTGAAAATCCACTTGTCCCAACTCTCAAGTTTTTCCTTGTCATCACTTTTTGATGATTTTTTTTTTAAAAAATTCAAACTTGCTTATTATATATGAAAACTTTTTTTAGACTTCCGTCCCAAATTTTCAGGAACATTTTCTTAATATTTTTATGTATTGTTAATCAATATAAAGTAAAAAGGTAGCTGAAAATTTTTTTTTTTTTCTACAGCTATCTGGCAGTGTCAACTATTTATATAAGAAGTACCTCTTCAATCATTTATATTAATTGTTTTGTCTTATTTACTTTATTATAAACATGCACATATATTTGGACATGTGTTTTTTGTTTGAAAGTGCATTTTCTTATTTTTGAAATAAAAAAAACTATGGATGGCAAAATAAAAATAACAATAAAAGGAGCAATTAATCTTGGTTTGCAGAGGCTCATAATTTATTCAATTTAAAAAATATAAAACATAGCTTTTTTAAATTTTGAATTAAATCTCTATAATTTTTTTTAATTAAATTTTTATAATTTGATAAATTAAGTTTTTTAACCTCTAAAAATTAAAATACTTAAATTTTTTAAAAAATAAAACTAAATTTTTTTATATTTTTGTTAAATGAAATATAGAAAAAATTACTTAATTTTTATAACTCAAATTTTTAAATATTTTTTACTTACAGAATTTATAAAAAATTAATAAAAATATAAATAGTGTATAAATTAATGCTTTAAATTTTGATTAAAAGTATTAAATTAATTTTTTATAAATTTTAAAATTATTTTCATTTAAAAATTTAAAAATTTATCATTAATTTTAAAATTTAAAAATTAATTAGATTAAATTGTATAGTTTTAATTAAGATAAAATAAAATATCAAAATTTAATTGAAAATTGTGGAAAATTATAAAGATATGCAGATTAATGTTTTCTAAAAAACAAAAAAAAAGTTGCTCCCTGCTCGCGCCGCCACGCATGACCCTTTGCCACCCCAAACTAATTCTGGCGCGCGTCGTCTTCGTCTACGCACACATTAACGTTGTTCCCATGTTTTTCAGAATCTCAGAGAATCTTTCTGCTCTTCTCTTCTCTTTCTGTTCATAAATATCTCATCTTCGATTTTTTCTGTTTCATGCATTTTCATAGATCTGAGCCTCCATTTTGGTCTCATACATGACCTACATGCTCTCTATCATTTTATCCTCCAAAACGCTTTGCCCTCTTCTCCTAGTCTCTCATGGTGAGAGACACCAAAGCGTCGCCGCAAAACACCAATGTCCAGGGCCTTATTGTGGGCAATTATTGCCATGACGTTCTTATACGCGATGGTCTCGTCGTCGGGGAGACTCTTGGGGGCGCCGCCTCTTTCGTCTCTGCCGTGTTCGATGTTCTCTCCATCTCCTTCCGATTGGTTTCGAAGGTCGGATCAGACTTTGCTTACACGACGAAACATCGCCCGATTTCAGTTCCTACTTCGAAAACCACTATCTTCCACGCGTATTTCGACTCTGCGGTCGACGCAGCCGGGCACCAAGATCGGGTCCTGAAACGGCCATGTGCTTGCGACCCGATTCGTCCGTCCGACCTTCCTGCGGCGGCGGCGGCGTTTCAATTTGGGATGGCTGTCGGGGTGGGTGGGGAGATATCGCCGGAAACTCTGGAGAGACTTCTTGATATCTGTAATATAGTGTTTGTTGATGTTCAGTCGCTGATTCGAACATTTGATATTGGTGATGGGACCGTGAAGCTTGTTGGGTTGAAGGATAGTGGATTCTTCCATCTCCTTCCCCGGATTGGGTTTATAAAAGCATCATCTGATGAGGCATTTTTCTTTGACTTGGATGAGGTGAGGAAACTGTGTTGTGTTGTAATTACGCATGGGAAGAATGGGTGTAAGGTATATTGGAAGGATGGGGAAATAGAAATTGCTCCATTTACAGCGAATCAGATTGATCCGACAGGTGCAGGAGACAGTTTCTTAGGTGGTTTTGCTGCGGGGCTAGTTCAAGGTTTAGCTGTGCCTGATGCTGCATTACTAGGCAACTTCTTCGGTTCATTGACTGTGGCACAAGTGGGCCCACCAAAGCTTGACATGACATCAATTCAGGTTAATTTTCCCTTAATTCTTTCCGTCTAATGTTATATTGGCTTTTGCTGTGACTGTGCGAATGGAATCCAGATACATTATCTTCTCATACAGTTGAATTTAATGTTGGGAATATTACTGCTAAGTAGAGTTGAATATACAGTAAGACAGACTATGTAGAGGTTTGAAATTCAAGTGCAATTAATGGTTTTAAAATATGGACCGCTTAAAAGCAGGATGACAGAGTGAAACTGCTGGCGAATTGGTACTATGTCATGTTAGAGCCTTTTACGTTTGACTTCCATTGGAGCTGGTTCCGTTCAGTTTCCCAATATATTGGCTTATTGAAGTTCTCAGGAGTTTCATACTATGGGCATCTTTAATTTTGTATTGTCTGCGATTCTTTGTCCCAAGCTCGTTGACAATTGTATGCAGATTGTTTGTGAGTGGATACTTAGGGTCTGTATTGGGAGTCGTTATTTGTTATTACAGAGGATGATCTTGTCAGTCTAGAATCATAGATTCCTATTGTTTCTGTCGCTTTGCTTTTCCTTGGTACCATGATGCATTACAGGAAATGAAAGGCTTGTCCATGAGATCATGAAGAGCAATTTGTGAGTAGTTAAAGGACAAAATATTGTTTCTAGAACTGAAAACGTTGCAATGGCTTCGTCAAGCCTAATATCTAGTTTTTTCTGAGTTCAATTAATGCTAGATATCTGATTTTTCTCTCGACTTTTGTTCTATCAACAAACCTCTAACCACTGAAGTTATGGACGAAGATAAAGAGAGAAATAATATATGCCTTTTGAACTATTTACATGGGGTACAACTTTTTTCTTTTGGTAAGGTACCCCAACTATACTCCATTATAAATCATATCAATTTTTGCCTCAAATTTTCGATGCTGTAATCTCCTTTTCAATTGATCTTCATGCTTACTTTTTTATTTTATTTCTATGATAATTTCCTAACTGCATTAATAGCTAGATATGCTACTCATTGTCAAACTACTCAAGGCTTATAACTCATTGTCATGCATGTAAATTGAGTTTTAAGAGATCATCATAATCTTAGACGCAATTTGGCTTTCCATCCGATTTTCAAAACATGATTTGTCTACCTAACATTCTCGTCTTTTTAGGTCATGTTAGCTTTTCATTTAGACTACGCTACCCTAATCTCTGTTTATATTTAGTCAAATAACATCTGATGATTCTCTTGCTTAAAAATTATACTTGACACTCTGATCATGTGCTTGTATTTCTCTGGATTCTGCATGTCATTTTAATTTGTGTGTTTTAATCTGTTTTGTCCCTTTCATTCTCATATAACTTGGGGCAGGAGAATATTGTTTCACAAATAGGCATCTAGTCCCTTAGCAAAAGATATCACAAATGTAAGTATTTCCCACCCATTTTGTTGCTGTAATGTTTTGGATCTCAGATGGTTAAGGATGAGATGCACAGAAGGGTACGGGACTTTCCATATCCGAAGAAAATGAAGATGGCTGAGCTTGCAAAAGCCATTGGATCATCAACAATTCTATGCAGCCCTTGATGCTGCCAGATCATTAGTTTTGTGTTAGATTCAGGAATCCACTCAACTACCCTAAAGTGTTGGAGCACAAAAGATCAAAGACGAAGTTGTTGCTGCATCCTATCCATGAGGGACCCTGTAAACCACGAGATATGGGGGACCGCTGCTAAAGACTTTTTGTAAAAATAAATCAATTAATCAAGTTTGTATCAAATAAACTGTTAGCATGGTCCGCTCATTCTTTAATGAATTTTGATTCTAACGTATTTGTTTGTTTAGTAAAACTTGCTATGGAATTTATCATACATACATACATAGATACATGCATATATATGTATTTATAATATGTATATGTATTTATAAATATTTCACCTGAGTGATTCAATTGAATGTATATTCTAGAAGGACATAAAATGTTCAATGGCTAAAACATAAGAGATTAATTGGCTCAAAAGATATAAAGTTTAGGTTAGGAATGAAGGGAATACTCAAAATAGCCATGCAGACCAGTCGGGTTCTCGAAACATAACTAGCATAACACTTCAAAGCTTTGTTATTTTGTTTACTTTGCTATGCTATTTTGACCATTTTGATTTATTGTTTAATTTATCTTTTGTTTAAGAAATATTTGTATTATCTAATTTGTAATAACTAGTATTTTAATTAAGCATTAAAAATTTAGTTATCTTGACAATGTTTTTATTTTAAAACAAAAGATTGTGTATAAAATAATAAATAATCATAGATAAAATTCTATATAAGGTAGATTGTCATTATCATTGTTTTTTGAAGATGATATGGTAAGTTCAAAAGGAAGGATAATAAAGTTTAAACAAATATGTATTCACCCACAAACTATTAATTAATGATTTAAATTAATTTATGAGTCTAATGAGGGGTGGAGAAAAACAGTTGAAACAAGCAAGATTATTGCTTTTCCTATAACTATAACGTTTTAAACAACAGAATTTTCTGCTTTTGGCAACAGAAATTAGAATTATTGATTCCATATCATTATCGTTAATTAATAAATATCACTTTGATCTTCTAAACACATCTTAAATACAAATGCGTCAAGATTCAAGAAAGACGACCGGCCAAGATAAAAAGGTGTGATTCATATTATATAAAAAAAGAAAGAAATAAAGAGAGATGTGGTTCAATCAATCAGGTATCTTTATAAAAGATGTCAAGTTTTTTTTACTTGCAATCCAAAGTATAAAATCTAAAGTTGTGATAGATAACACATGTGTATTGTAAAAAGAAAATAAGAAAAAATATCAAATAGTTATCCTATATCAATTTTGGTAAATACTCTCTCCATTAAAAAATATAAGGTATTTTTAACTGAATTTCATTTTCAATAAAGTAGTTACTTACTTTCAAACTAACTTTATTTTTATATTTACCTTTATTAAACAATCTACAATAAATATAAAGTCATTCATCAATAGGGACATTTAAAAAAAAAGACAATAATTACATCCCAAAAGATTAAAAATGCTTTATATTTTTTAAATATTCAACTCTTTAAAACATACCTTATATTTTTGAATGGAAGGAGCATATATTAAAATACTCTCCTTTTATCTAAAAAAGATATGAATATTCACTTGTGGAGTTGTGGTGAGTTAAAAAAAAAAATCTTATACCTTTTTTATGTCTAATGGTTTTTCTTTAGGCTTGTCTAATGATTATTTATTTGATGACAAAACTTAAATATTTAGTATCATATATTTAAATTACTTATTTTCAATTAAATTAAAACATGCAAATTTTTTATATATTATTTATTTTATAAATTTTTTTATATTAATATTATTAAATACATTGGATTCTATTTATTTTAATTTTATTAAATAAAATATGAAATATATAAGATTACCTAAGTCCTGGTGTAACACACCAAATTTTTTTTAAAATAATTTAACTCAATCATAGGTGAGTTACAGCCACCCAACACATTTTTATATCAATAATTTCAATATAAAATATTTTATAATTGGCTTCAACTCACACATTATAACATTTCAGATAAATTTTTACCTCCCACATGCCATTAGGCTAAATCACATTTGTCCATCCTTATACTCCCAACAAGTAAACTAAATCACATTTGTCCATCCTTATACTCCCAACAAGTAAAATAAGCAATTTAGTAAATTTTTAACACAATCCAATTATTTGGCCTTATAATCATGCCATTTTAATCAATCTAAAGTAAACCAAATATTAAAATTACAGTCATCCAAATTGTATCAAAAATAGAAATAGTTTGAAAGGCATGATTACATTTATATCTCATATAATTGACAATAAACAAAGAGCCCTAATATTGGCAATATAACACATTATAAATCATAAATTAAATACCCAAAAGAGACAGTGGATCTATACTACTAAGCCTCTGGAACTCCTCCACGTGTCACTCGTGGCTCTTCTCCTAAAAATTGTTAACCACATAATAAGACTCAAAAGTTCCAGTAACCAAAGCCAATTTATGATAGTGTATACCAACAGTTAAATGTGTGCTTACTAAGTGAGAATTAAAAATAATATAATTCCAACAAATATAAGAAATATTACAATATACACAAACAACCGTCCTTATATCCCTCCATTAACCTTGAGCCGTAGCCCTCACTCGGTGCTAAATTACCCGGCCAAAGGTAGATTAGCCCGAGCCCTTACAAACCACCTATTGAGCTCCAATAGGGGCGTACCACGTGGCACAAAAATATAACAATAATAGCAAGTCTCCCAACACCTCCCACAATAATCAAACAAATTCATAATAATATTGCACAATTATATAATATTACAAAATTTATAATTTTCTTAATAATCACCCAATTAACATGAAGTAACACAAATCATAAATTAAAAGCATGGTTACCTTGTGGCTTTTTCAATAAATTATTCCTTAAAATTTCTCTCTCACCACAATCTTCACCAGTAATACAATCTACAAATAACATATTATTTATAAATATTAGTTTCATTGAAACTAATAAAATAATTCTAATAATAGAATTAAAAATATAACATAATTTCTAATCTCAATCTTAATACAAATCTAGAGTTAATACTATTAAGTAAAATTTTTAACTCCTCTTTTAATTATCAATAAACATTAATAATTTAAAAATCAACTTCTAAACTAATTTCTATTATCAAAATTTTCTTTTTATTTCATAAATTCGTACCTAAAATATCCAAAAATTAAAAATTGAGTCTTTAGCTTAGAATCATAATCCTATAGCCATAATAATTCATTTCTCATCCCAAATAATCATCTAAACATCAATAAATCAACATATATTTTAGATCTAGTTTAGAATTTGATCCATAAACCACAAATTCAAAGATCATCAACAAATTTATACTCTAGAACATTTATTATACTACTGACAACCTCAAAAACCATATTTATTCAACATAAATTTATCCCTCTTCCGGATCTTAAATTTTCTACCACTACAAACTCAGAAACGAAAGAAGAAGGATGACTAAGAAAAATTTTTAGAACACTTACTTAGTCTTGAAAAGCTTAAAATCACACCCTAATTATCCTATTAAAAACTCTCACCTTAAAAATTCAGATCTTTCGCACCGACGACTCACGCTCACAGATGCTCTCTCTGATTGTACACGAAAGAGGAAGGAAATGAAGGAAAATGAGAAAAGAACGGTGGTTTTTAAAAATGAATGTGGGTCCCACAATTTTTTTTAATTTTTTCCTTTCCTCTCTCTTCTTTTCTTTTTTTTAACTATTTTATATGTAATCATTGCAGCCAAACTCGTTTTTTATTCTTCTTCTTCCTTTTTTCTAAATACCTTTTCTTTTTTTATTATAATAATAATTTAATAATATTTTTTAATAATTTTTTTTACAATTTTTTTAATTTAAAATTATATTCTAAATTAGATTTAATTATCATTTTCTACTAATTTGCTTACCTCTAAATATTTTATTTTTTTTAAATTTTTTTAACCTAAATTAACTATTAAAATTTAAATTGGGATGTTATACCTGATTTATAGAGTATTTAATATAACTAATTCTTATGGAATATCCTTAATATTATTAATTTAACAAGGGTGCTGACAAATTGGTTTATAATATTCTTTGTGACTTTAATTTATATAAAAAAAACCTTTGTTCATACTTCCTTTGAAGGGTGCCCTTTCATAGTTTCATTTTTTTCTTTTGTTTCGACAAACCTTTTTGTCTTTTCTTTTATGTTTGTTATTTCTTAGTTTGTAGCACCTTTTTACTTTCTTATGAACGAAGTTTCCTTGTTTTATTTTAAAAAAATTGATAATACGTTTTTTTGACCAGCAAATTTATAGCACGTTGAAGGGGGGGAAATTATAGCACGTGATTTGAAAAAGTCAGCTCCCTTGATCCTGGATGAAAACTAAAAAGGTGAGTAAAAATGTAAGACTGGAGAGTCAATTAGATCTGAAGTGAAAATTTCAAGTCGAAGGTCAAAAGGGGCCAGCATAAGGATTCTCTCGATGGAGAAGGAAGAAAAAGTTGGGCAATGTCATCATCGGCAACCACATAGAATCCTTCACTTTACGACGATCTCTGTTTTTTGATCCCTTCTTTGAGGGAAAGTGAGAGAGCAAGTACTCCATTGAAGCGATTGAACTGATTCTGCAGAGCAGTGGATTGAAGATAGAGAAAGGTATTGAAAATTTAATCTCCACGCTTTGGAGCCGTTTTTTTAATTTGACAGAGAAGGATGCGTTTGGGGGTTCGCCAAATTTCACGATATGGGAAGAGACTGGCATGTTAATAGCTGACAAGGAATAATTACGGTGTCCCCAATCGCGTTCTTAATGATTATCCATTATTAAGGGAGAATCTCCAAATATGTCTTTCACTAAATTTGTGTGAGAATGAAATCTCTCAGCTTTCAATAAAGAATCCCCCATCTCTTCCGCTTCCCCTTCCCCTGAAAAATCCCTCTTTTCAAATTTCAGAAACCCCAAATTTTCAAAGATTTTATCACCCATTATTTGGATCCCGAATTCTTCTGAATCCTAGCAGATTTTGTTCTTGTGTGTTTTTGGCGCAGATCTCCATGAAGAACACGAGGAAGAAGAAGAAGCGATCGCCGGCCCCCAAGTCCACCTGCAAAGGCGTTGTGGGGAACAGGGATCTTGGCAAAGTAGGAGGAGGAGGGGTTGAACCCGAAGGTGAACAAAAACGTGAGGTTCTGGAGAGATTGGTTGGAGCATTTTCCTTATCTTCTTCTGAGGAAGCTGCTTTGCCATATAAAGATGCCGAGGTTGATCTCGAAGAAACTGCTCAAATTCCGATGGGAGGCTTTGTGGATAATATTAAGGTTTCTTCCACTTGTTCTAGCTCTAGTGGGTTTTCGGGTATGGACTTGGCATCAACTTCGGGTTCGTCTGAAGGGTTTATGGAGTCCAATTATGCGGATATGAGCAGTGCCAATGGATTCCGAAGGGGTAAGCAGAAGAAGAAGGTATCTGCAGCTATGGGTACCGTTTCCACGGTTTTGGGCAAGGAGTATATGAGACGGAGCTCAAATAGGCCCAATGGATATCATAATAATGAAGTCGTTGAAAAGGCAGAGGTGGAGCAGTTTCTGTGTTCGATGCTGGGAAATGATTGTGACATCAGTTTGGCTGTTGTTAGAGATGTTCTATGTGAGTTATCATCTCTTCCATTAATTTTTCTAAATATGATAATAGACATTTCACCAAGTTTAAAATTTATTAATTCTGTCTTCTTTTTCTGTCTAGCATCAAAGCTTCCTGCCTTTGAAGCTACTGTGTGTGTGTGGCCATTTGATATTATCTTTGGAACTGGAAATCTGTTGTCTTCTGCCGCTATTTTGTCTAATTCCTGATGAAAGATTTTGATTTGCCATTATTCTAATAAAAGAAAGGGAGATAACATATTCTTGTATATGCTATTGCTTAATATGATACTTTATTCATGGGATTATTTTCTTCTATCGTGTGACATGAGATTTGCCCCCTTCTTTTTGCAGGTCAGTGTGGATATAAGATGGATAAGGTATACAGGCGAATTTGAAGTTGTTATTTCACGTGCATATTACAGTTTGGTGGTCATATTTTGATTCAAAATGTTCTTGCACACATTTTGATAGGGCCCGTTATTTTCTTAAGACATATCAGAGGAAGTCAAAGGGGAAGAATAACTCTAGTGGAAATACTTGAACCAGTCTAGAAGTTTACCCTTCAGTCCATAGCCGTAAGGAACAGTATTTTGTGATCTTTTGTAATGATTGGGATCTTTTGGGTAGTATGGGCGATGTGTCAGCCACTGAAGGTATTAGTAGTCTTTTGTTTAGGAAGGGAGGGGGAAGAAGGAGACTGGAATAGTAAGGAGAGATTGGCCTCTCGAATGCCAATGGGAGTGAGACTTTTGTATTGAAGCTTGTAATCTGTGTTGCTAGAGTGTTTTATCATCTTCTAGGGGAAATAGGGTTTTGGGCCAGAATCAGAGTTCCCATGTACATCTGATTCGGTTATTCATCTCATTAATATCAAAACCTAAGTATTTTTCCTCTCATATTAATTGCTGTTGCTGTCTTATTTATTACTCTTTGCTGTGATTCTGGTTTGGGACACATTATTTGGCATCAGAGCAGGTACAATCTCTGGGTGTGGTGTGTAAGGAGATATGGCGGAAAGGGTCCAGTATGCTGATCTGGAGGTACAGGAACTGAAGGAAACGGTTGGGGTATTGACCCGAGATGTAAACGGTATTAAAGAAACATTGAAGACTATTAATGATGCCTTGGTGCAAATAGAGAAGAAGATAACCGGGCCACGTGCAAACGAACAGGAAGGTCATGAGGAGGTTTCGGTGAGCAACCCAGGCGGTGATACAGACGGAAGCAAATATAGAAAGTTAGAATTACCTGTTTTTTTCAGGCGAGGACCCGCTAGGATGGCTTTTTCGGGTGGAGAGATATTTCCATGTTAACTCTATTGCAGAACGAGATAAGCTTGAGGCTGTGGTGGTATGTCTTGAGGGAAAGGCATTAAATTGGTACTAATGGCTGGAGACCAGGATACCTCTGAGTCACTGGACGGAGTTCAAGAGTGAGCTGCTACGCAGGTTTCACTCTTCTCAGCCAGGGGCGGAATATGAGCGATTGTTCACATCCAAACAGGACAGGACGGTGCTGGAATTTGTTGAAGAATTCGAGCTCTTATCTGCGCCGCTGAAGGAGGCCTCTGAAGAATGCTTGATCGGTGCGTTCCGTTCTGGGTTAAAACCAGAGATTAGAGCTGAGTTGAAGTTAATGAAAACTCCGACACTGCGAGAGCTGATGGAGATGGCGGTGTGTATAGAGGAGAGGAATCGGATACTTGGAGATTGCAAAGAAACCCGGATCACCCGAACCCAACGTCCTCAGTTTGGGCCCAAACCCGAAACGCTTCAACCCATTTATTCCACACGAGTTGCGCACGTGACTGAAGGGAATCGCAACATGCACACTGCCACGTCTTCAGCTGCCGAAAATTCGAAGAAAACGGATACGAAAACAGAGCATTCCAAGGCTGCGAGCATTTCGAATTGGGGATCATCGACGAAGAGGACGGGAAACTCACGACGACTCTCTGATGCTGAGATTGCAAGGCGACGTGAGTTAGGACTGTGTTTCAAGTGTGGAGATAAATACAGCCCGACCCACCAGTGCAAAAACAAGAACCTTCAGGTACTGATAATGGAGATGGGGGCAGAAAAGGAGAGAGAGGAAGATGACGCAGAGGCTGAAATTGAAGGAGGGGAATTCGAAAATGCTGATGAAGGGGCACAGATGGAATTATCTCTCAATTCCATGGGAGGATTCGGCGATAATCACACTATGAAGGTTAAAGGGAGGATCGGAGGCACTGAAGTGATAATTCTGATTGACAGTGGCGCTACCCATAACTTCATAGCTGAAAATCTGTAGAGTAAATTGAAATTACCTTTTGATGAGATTTCTGTATATACAGTTACAGTGGGTGATGGGTTTGTTGTAAAAGCGAGGAAAAGGTGTAAGGACCTCTGTTTGAGTGTCCAGGGGTACCAAATCATTCAAACCTTCTATCCTTTCACGTTGAAAGGGGTTGATGCAGTCTTGGGAATGGAGTGGTTGAAATCTGGGGGATGTGAAGGTCAATTGGAGCGAGTTAACAATGAAGATTGGCAAGAAAGAAAAGAGAATTTGCTTACAGGGTGATCCATCTCTCACTCGGGCTCAGGCTACTTTCAGGTCACTAATTCGCTCTGTAGGAAAGAAAGGAGAGGGGTTTCTAATTGAATATAGTGGGCTCACGGGCAGCAATGAAAGTACTTTCATTTTCTCTCCTGAAATTCAGGAGTTATTGGAGAAATATCCTACTGTCTACCAAGTTCTTGAAGGCCTACCTCCAGCCCGTCCACAAGATCATGCTATTCTTATTAAACCTGGAGAGCAGCCACCGAACATAAGGCCCTATCGATACCCCCATATGCAAAAAAACGAAATAGAAGGTTTGGTGAAGGACATGTTACAGGCTGGAATTATTCAGCCAAGCAACAGCCCCTACTCAAGTCCAGTGTTGTTGGTCAGGAAGAAAGATGGAAGTTGGAGGTTTTGTGTTGATTATAGGGCCTTAAACAAAATTACAATCCCGGATAAATTTCCTATTCCAGCCATAGATGAACTATTGGATGAATTGAAGGGAGCCAAAATTTTCTCCAAGCTGGATTTGAAGTCTGGATACCACCAAATTCGGGTTAAGGCTGGGGATGAACACAAAACAGCATTCAGAACACATGAAGGACATTATGAGTTCAAGGTGATGCCCTTTGGATTAACCAACGCTCCCTCAACATTCCAATCCTTGATGAATGAGGTATTCAGGGAGTATTTACGCAAGTTTGTATTGGTATTTTTTGATGACATTCTCATATATAGTGATGACTTAACCACTCATTTAAAGCATTTGGAGAATGTATTTGCTATCTTAAAGGAAAATCAGCTTGTGATTAATTTGAAGAAATGTAGTTTCGTACAACCCAAGATTGAATACTTGGGGCATCTGATATCAAGAGAAGGAGTTCAAGCTGATCCTGCTAAGATAGAGAGCATGGTGAAATGGCCAAAGCCTAAGAATGTGAAGTCTTTGAGGGGTTTCCTTGGGCTGACTGGGTACTATCGTCGATTTGTCAAGAACTATGGGAAGATTGCTAGCCCCCTTACTGATTTACTTAAAAAGGATTCTTTCAAGTGGTCAGTGGAAGCGGAAAAGGCATTTGAACAGCTCAAAACTGCCATGACTTCACTACCCGTGCTCGCAATGCCCGATTTTACCATTCCTTTTGAGCTTGAGACTGATGCGTCTGGTACCGGAATAGGGGCAGTTTTGATGCAACAAGGCAGACCAGTGGCATATTTTAGCCAAAAGCTCTACATAGAGCCCAACAATGCTCTATTTATGAAAGAGAGCTCATGGCTATTGTTATGGCAGTTAAAAAATGGCGCCATTACCTTTGGGGGCATAAATTTATCATCCGTACAGATCAAAAAGCACTGAAGTACTTGCTGGAGCAGAGAGTGGTTGATGAGAACCAGCAGAAATGGGTGTCAAAATTAATGGGCTTCAAGTTTGAGATTATTTACAAGCCCGGAAAAGAGAATAGGGCTGCTGATGCCCTATCCAGACGAGAAGAATCACTAGAACTAATGGGGTTCTCATTATGGCAATATAATGATGTGGAAGAATGGGAGAAGGAGGTGCAAGCAGACCCGAAACTGAGCAAAATTCTACAGCAACTCCTAACTGATAAAACTGGGGTGGAAGGGTACAGCTTAGTTCATGGCTGCCTACACTATAAAGAGAGGTTAGTCTTACCAAAAAATTCCACCAGAATTCCTTGTTATTGAAGGAATATCATGATTCTCCAATAGGGGGCATTCGGGCTACTTACGCACCTACAAGAGGCTGTCCAATGTGGTGTATTGGGAAGGAATTAAAAGGGATGTTCAGCAATATGTGGCGAGTTGTGAGATTTGTCAAAAGAATAAATATCAAGCGCTAACTCCTGCTGGTCTGTTACAGCCGTTGACCATTCCTCAAAACATTTGGGAAGACATTAGCATGGATTTCATTACCGGGCTTCCTAAATCAAAAAGGTACGACACCATTCTAGTGGTAGTGGATAGACTCACCAAATATGCTCATTTTTTCACTCTTGCCCACCCTTTTTCTGCAAAGGATGTTGCTGAAAAGTTTGTGAATGAGGTTGTGAAGTTGCATGGTTTCCCTAAAACCATAGTTTCAGATCGAGACAGAATTTTCATTAGCCAATTTTGGCAAGAATTGTTCAAGCAAGCTGGAACCCAACTTTGCCTTAGCTCATCGTATCATCCGGAAACGGATGGACAGACGGAAGTGTTAAATAGGAGTTTGGAGACTTACTTGCACTGTTTTGCTAATGAAAAACCAACTCAATGGGCTAAATGGTTGTCTTGGGCGGAATATTGGTACAATACTTCATTCCACAGTGCGGCTGGCATGACACCTTTCAAGGCGTATATGGCCGGGATCCACCTACATTTCTGAAATTTAGTGGCGAACCTTCAGTTGTGGAAGATGTGAATGAACAGATTCAACTCGAAATCAGATCATTGAACAATTAAGGGACAATTTAGCTAAGGCTCAAAGTAAAATGAAGGCGCAAGCTGATAAGCATCGCCGGGACGTGCAATTTGAGATTGGGGACTTTGTTTATGTGAAGCTTCGCCCTTATCGACTAAAGACCTTAGCCAAGAGGAGCAATGAGAAGCTCAGCCCACGTTTTTATGGACCTTTCAAGGTTCTTGAGAAGATCGGAACAGTGGCCTACAAGCTGGAACTTCCAACCACCGCCCGCATTCACCCCGTATTTCATGTTTCTCAGCTCAAGCAAACGGTTTCAGCTGCTATGGCACAGCCTACCATCCCTCCGATGCTTTCTAATGAGTTTGAATTACAAGTGCAGCCTCAAGATATTAGGAAGGTGCGCCGGCTTATGAATGGACAGCGAGAAGTGTTGGTTAAATGGCAAGGCTTACCTGAATTTGAGAACTCTTGGGAATGTGCAGAAACAATTTGCAAACAGTTTCCAACTTTTCCCCTCGAGGACAAGGTGGAGCTCTTAGGGGAGGGTGATGATAGGGCCCGTTATTTTCTTAAGACATATCAGAGGAAGTCAAAGGGGAAGAATAACTCTAGTGGAAATACTTGAACCAGTCTAGAAGTTTACCCTTCAGTCCATAGCCGTAAGGAACAGTATTTTGTGATCTTTTGTAATGATTGGGATCTTTTGGGTAGTATGGGCGATGTGTCAGCCACTGAAGGTATTAGTAGTCTTTTGTTTAGGAAGGGAGGGGGAAGAAGGAGACCGGAATAGTAAGGAGAGATTGGCCTCTCGAATGCCAATGGGAGTGAGACTTTGTATTGAAGCTTGTAATCTGTGTTGCTAGAGTGTTTTATCATCTTCTAGGGGAAATAGGGTTTTGGGCCAGAATCAGAGTTCCCATGTACATCTGATTCGGTTATTCATCTCATTAATATCAAAACCTAAGTATTTTTCCTCTCATATTAATTGCTGTTGCTGTCTTATTTATTACTCTTTGCTGTGATTCTGGTTTGGGACACATTACATTTTAGTTATATAATTTTAATAAGCTAGGTGCAGTTATTTGTTGCTCTGTGGGTATCTGCCTATCAAGGAATCGTAGTAACTGTAATTCTGTATTTTTTTCAGTTTATTATTTTTTGTCTTGTAGCTTCACTGATTATGTTAGATATATATTATGATTTTGCTACTCTTTCTGTTTTCTTTTTTTGGGTGCGGCAGAGTCACTATAGAATCTAACTTTGGTTGGTATATGCATGGGTTATTCTTCTTTAGTTCCATGCACTTTAGGTCAGATCTTTCATTTTTATGGATGGTAATAGAAAATTGTTGTGGAAGCTTATTTTGCAACTTCACTGTTTGAATTATTCACCTCTTAATTATATTTGCTATTGTTATAGAATGAAGATTGAATTATGATTTTTCAGGCCCTGGACGTGTTGCTTGAGATGTCTATGCCTTCCGATCAACAATATGAGAAAGACAGACACCCTGATGGCACAGCTGATAATATTGATGATATGAGATTTCCTGCTTACCATGAGAATGTAAACTATTAAATATCAATCTTTCTTGTAACATTATTATTTCTTTAGTTTTTGTTGGTCTGTTGATGAAATACATTTCATTTGTGCTTGTGCATGCTCACATACATGCATGCATGCATGCATGTATATGCATATGCATACATGTACTTGCACAGTGTATTCTTTAGATCCATGCGGAAGCACGATATGGTTTCGTACCTCATTGCATGCAAAAATTATGAGCATCTTAGATACCATGGCATTTTATGCCTTGTTATGGTATTCAAGATACCATAAGATCTGACATACTAGTGTACCAAACAACACCAAGGATTGTTCCATATGGCATATGCAGTTGATATCATTCATCAATTCATTTATTATAGAGTTGTGACTTACGAGGCTGTTCTGTACTGTGCATATTATCCATTGACATCTTACTTATCACAGCTAACAGACAGTAGATCAGAGTGCACATCCTTTTCATCGGAAGGTGAATTTTCTGACAATTGGTGGTCCCTGGGATCTTTTCACGGGTAAATCATAGAACTTTGTTCTCTTCTGCCTATTCATTGCAACAAGTTTGACATACATTGTAATAGACATTATGTAATGGTATTCATATGATTTTTAATCTCTTGAAAACTTGAACTAAATGACATTGGTGTGTGAATTGATTTTGTCATGTGTTATAGATATACATAATAAATATTCATGTATTATAGTAAATGTCATTTTCAGCCTATCTACTACTAGGTTCCTGATTTATATATATATATATGTATATATATATAGATTATTTTTGGGTTTTTTAGAGTTACATATTAGTGTAGTTGTTCCTTTGAGTTGTTTCATATGTGCCCTTAATATCTTAATCATGACGAGAGTATTCTCTTCTGATGTATGCTTAATATCTTCTAAACTATTATAGCTTGCTTTTGTAGTCCTACCAACTTGCTATTGAATCTCAACCTCCTCCTAATCAAGGATTTAGTATTTGCAAAAATTGCAGCCTATTTCATTAGCATCGTTTTTTCTTGATTTTAGGAATTATGCAGAGGTGCTCTCTAGTTCTAAAGCTCAATATGATAATGGCTTTGGAAATGTAAAGTCTGAACTTCCTCAGAAGGTGTTGGAATCTCTGTTTGACATTCACAAAAGTACTGAACATGACAAAGATGCCATGAACTGGAGTAATGTAGTAAAGAAAATGCAGTCTTTGGCGCCTCAATTGAATGCTTCTTGTGGTGTTGCCAAATCTCAGCAACATACTTATGGTACTTATTGTGAAGATATCATACATCACTTTTGCTTGGATTCCTTTATTTATTTATTTTTTAAAATTCAACCACTGTTGTCTGATCTTCATTAACCTTTTGCAAACCTATTTTCCCCTTTGCCCTGTATTCCATGCTCTCATGAAATGGATCCATCTGAATGGTTTCCTAGAATGTTGCTTGCATTTTTTTTTTGGTCATTTCATGCTATCCGTAAAGCTTAGTTGATTATATTTTGCATTCTTATGTTATAGAAGTAGCTTCATGGTTGTTTTGACATCCCTTATAAGAAAGCTTACCCTTGTTGAAATAACTCTGATAAAATAGCAAGAGCTGGGTGGTTATACTTTTTATGATCTTTTTTTAGATTATCTTTCTTTTTGTATGGTTTAATTTGGAGATTTTGTTGATGCTATCCGCTTATATTAGTTTATTTATTTGATTAATTTTCTTCTGTTGCAGCTAAAGGAGATGACTATTATGTGCTTAGGGAAGATGCAAAGCAGCACTGGGATTCAATGAGATCTTATTATCAGAAAGTAAATTCAGATCTGACCTTTAGTCTAATTTCCCAATCTCTGAGCTGGTTAGCTTTAGAACTAAAACTTAATTTTAGAAACATTAAATGGCTGACATAACTTTGCAGGCTTCAGCTGCACACACCAAAAAAGAACGAGCATATGCAGCATATCTTTCTGACCAGGTTTGACTTTAGGAATTTAATTTGTAAATTTTAAATACATGTGTGCACTTATTTTGTATACATGCTTGTTGTGATTATTGCGTATGAGATGTATTGTTTCCAGTGTAGCTATTAAATCTGGTGAATTGATTCCCAAATATAATATATATATATATATTATATAGAGTTCAATTTCAGTTGACCAAGTTATTTGTTTATGTCCTTGTACATTTTTTGGCTTGAGTGTGGAAAAGAGATCAAAATATGTGTATGCTTTGGCTTATCTATTCTTTTTCAGGATCCATATGTTTTATGGAAAAACATATGAGTATGTATCTTCTGGTTTTTGGTAACTGGTGGGATTTGGACTTCTTGTGCTGCGGTGATTTATCTGTCAATTACCTTTAAGATTACTGGTATCATTTAGTTTGGACTGCCTTGTTTCAACAATATCTGCATTTGGCCAGGGAAAGGAACAAAGTAACTTGGCTCAGAAGGCAGATGCAAAGGCAAGCCATGACATATTTATGGCTAGGTCAGTGAGAAGCTTTTAAGAGGAAGAGAATTCTTCTTTTTTCACCTTCACCTATTTGTATCTATACTTGTATCAAACAATTGTTTGTGGTTTGCAGAAACAAGGATATAGAAAATGTCATAACTATTGATTTGCACGGGCAGCATGTCAAACCAGCAATGAGAATACTTAAACTACACCTCCTATTTGGATCTGTTGTTCCCTGTAAGCATTGGCTACACCCCTGGGAGCCTGGTCTCGTTTAAGATTTACTAAACTGGCATTGTCTGGATGGATTGAGCTCTTATTTTGTTTTTGTTGTCTGATTACCTCTTTTATATCTGCTTCAGCTGTCCGGACACTAAGGGTTATCACAGGTTGTGGATCACATGGTGTGGGAAAGTCAAAGCTGAAACAATCAGTATGGTTTCAACTCATCTACTTCCTCTTATCTTTTCCCCCCTCTAATAACAATTGGGACAAATTGTCCAATAGACATCATGCTTTGGTCATATACCAGCTTATATTCTTGAACTTGGTTTTAAGGATATGCACCTCTTCTTCTCATTTGCTTGAGCTTCGATTAGGTGATTGTGCTCTCTGATCCTTTACCTGGCCATCTTTAATATTTACATAAGGCTAAGATTGCTGGTTTATGTAATTCGCAAGGTCCTATACTCCTCGTTTCTTGTAGATATTCCATTCCTTTGGCATGGACTTGGTTGCTTTGCTTGGGTTTCTTGATTCTTTTCAATATTCTAGTCTACCAGATTAGAAAAATCACTGTTTGGATTCTGCTGAATTTTCACTTGCAATTGTTTTCTCCACCACCTGATTCAGATCTGAACGGCTTGCAATTTTTTCCTTGATGTTGCGGACTTTAGGTCTCCCTCAATAAATTTGATATTTGCTTGAATTGGGGAATTGAATCAGTTTGACACATTCTACAACAGCGACAAGCCATATTCCATTAAGTGAAGTCAATTACATAAATCACATGATGCCATGAAGCTCTATTAACAATTGTTCAGAAATATCATTCACCATAAGATCTTGTTCTATAACTTCCTTAGGCATCCTTTTTGGTCTTACTTTACCTCTTTGTGTGGCTAAAATTCGTGTTCAGATCTTCCTTCTAATGCCACTAGTAATTTTTTTTGCATATATCCATACTATTTTAATTAATTAATTAATTATTTATTTATTTTTACCATTTTCTCCTCAATAGGTGCTTCACTTTTTCTCATATACAGTTATTTTGGATCTTGTCTTATTTTATGATCACACGTCTATCCTAATATTCTCATTTCTGCTATCATTGGTTTTATAGCAATTCAGTGAAACTTTCTTTTAAGCTCGGTAAGCATATAGATCTTGATGTGAGGGAAATATTTATCATTCAATCTATACGTTTCATACTATATGGAACTCATGATTTTCATGATTGGCAGCCGTTGTTTATGGTTTCATGTTGACATTGAATCTGTGTCATTCTATTTGGATTGATCTCGGTTGCCTTTGCCTTGATTAATGTATAATCCAAACCAGAAACTTTTAGATTGGCCGGTATGAACTTCTAGTCCATTGGGACGACTCATGTATGATCGCTTTGTTATAAATCCTTGTGAATTTGAAACCATCCATGCGTATTTAAGTGACCGAAACTGCTTGGCTGTTTGGTCGTTCATCGTAGTCTACTTAATGTAGGTTATAAAGCTTCTGGAAAAGGAGAATGTTGAATGGCGTGAAGAGAATCGGGGAACTGTGATAATCAAACTTAGTGGATCCAGAGAGTTCAGTTTTCTGGACTCTGATACTGATAGTGACTGCAATTAAATTCCTGTACCAAGGTACTATAGGAATATCAGCTTGTAACAAGTAAGATAATTTAGAAGGCTAACAATTTCTCTAGACACTAATTAATGTTAGCCCAGCTTTTGGTTTATTATTTCTAGTACCTCTGAGGGTGGAAAATTTGCAGTGCGCTATGCAGAGAACCTCTAACTCAATTGATAAGTCTAAAGATTAAGATATTACTACAGTTGTACATATGTTCATGTAACAATTACTTCTAACTTGCAATGAAGTCTTCAATTAAATTATTTCCTCTTTCTTTTTGTTTTCGGGTGCTGGGTTTCGATGAACTCGTTTTTGCTTGTTTCTTTGATTATCCGTTCTGGACATCCGGATTCTGTCCTCATCCAAAGGGATGAGCACCAGCTACACATTTTTAAAATGGCACTGCTTTTTGTATGAAGACACAATCATGCAGAGCCAGAGCGATGATAACTGTTCAACATCTCTACTTACTGTCTTCATTCTCCAGCGTTTTCGCTAGAAGCCTTGAAGTCTTGTCACGACTTTTCTGTCAACAACAATGCTCCCATTAGCTTCTTCCTGACCTAATTCTACCATTTATCCAAGCTCCATTCTCTTAGGAGTTTCTCCTAATTTTGGCCTTCTTAAGCAACTTTTGAACGTGCGATAATACTCAGCTTCCAAGAATTGTGGATGAATTGTTCATCTAATCAAGAAAGTCCAAAGGGGAAAATGATTTGCATTCCACCGAAATGCGACCATCAAGCCGGCAAGAAAACGGACGTGCTCCATCCACCGTGGTTCTCCATTGCTTGACCTTCAGAATCCTGGGGTTGGAGGAATCAGATCTGGGATTTTGTTTTCCAAAGCCGAAAGGCATCTAGAATCAAAAGAGGGGCTAGAAAGAATCAAAAATCAATAACGGCCAGGATTGCTTTATCGTGGACGACCATGATCGCTCAACATTGCATGGCCATGGTCGGGTCTCCAAGCTCAAAATTGTGTTGTCGTTTTAAGGATGAGCAGCTAGCGTGGGATCTCCAGACCGCCTGTCCAAGGGATCAGATATTTACGATGGCATTTATCATCTTTCTTCTTGTTTTTTGTTTGAGGACCTTAGGTTACATTCAAGGATATTGCTTTTCCTATATTCAAGTTGCCCAGCAATTAAAATTGATTTGAACAGATTTTGAATTCACGTTTTTTTTTTAAATCCATGAACAATTGCATCAAACAAGACTTGTTCGAAATATCAAAGCCTGCCGTTATATAAGTGTAATGAATGCGCGCGCGCACGTATTGTGTGTCGGGGTGCATGTATGGAGATAAGTTGGTTACTTTTATGAATTTATAATTGTAGGTAATATAAGTCTTTTTCGTGAATGGTTATAAACAAATATTAAATTAGATTATATGCTAATTGCCTTTGGTAATTTTTGATGGTTTCCAACTTTCATAAGACTTAGTTTGCTATTGGAAATAAATGTTGTGAAATAGTAAATATATTGTTGTTGTTGTTGTTGTTTATCTTGAGATAATAGTCTTTTGGGAAAATATCCTTGGTCTTACTAAAAAAATTAATATATCGTTATAATGTTATCTCTTCTCTAAATAATAATAAACAAATCGACGATTGAAATAAATTTAAAAAATTAAATTGAAAACTAAATAAATTTAAAAGAATAAAAGTTTTAGGGATAAATTAGCTCATTGGCCCAAAAACATCTTGTATTCAAAAAATATGAATCAAATTTTAAAAATTTGAGAATATGGCCTGTTTATAAATATACGAGAAATTTATTATTGATATACAAAAAGTATATCATAAAAAATTTAAAAATTTATAAAGGATTTATTATTTATATATAACAGTATTGACAAATCTAATAAACTGATCATAATGTAAAATATAATAAATATTAGGTTATTTGTTTAATTTGGTTCTATAATATTAACTCTATGTAAAGCCCCAAAATTTTATTATTCTTATTTTAAAATTTGTTCCAATCTAAAAAATATTCTTTTGTGAAAATAAATCTCTTGTCATAATTCAAAAACAAAACAAAACAAAACCCCTCACACGCACATATTATGTGTATCTATATATGCTAAAATCAAAAATTTATAAGCAATTTTTTTTTTTTTGTTTTTTTGGTCAATGACAGAAGATTCAATAAGGCGGCGATGTTGATCTCCTCGTTCCAGCAGCTACGCATTCCTGCAGCTCTATGGGAGAATTTGTTATTAATGTTTTCTGCTGGGCCCATTTGTGTTTTAAATGGGCCTTATGTTTATATGGACTAACCCTTTATAGTTTCAATAAATTGTCCTTCACTCAAAAAAAAAAAAAGGCGGCAATGAATAAATATGGGTTAACAAAATAAACCCCTCTCTCTGACCGCAGATTATATAGTTGCCTCGCGTGGAAGGCGCAACATTTCTTTCATGCACGAAGTCGCAGGACTTTCTATTGAGAGAGAAATCGAGCGGTAGAGAGAGAAGCAACCGCCTGTGTGACTGTGCTTGATACTTCATCGCTGTATGGTGGCGGAGCCGACGACCATGGACGAACCTGTGGTAAAGAACGACAAGCTCATCTCGAGATTCAAGAATCACGAAGAGAAAGAAGAAGGCGGAGGTGGCGATGACGACGATACTGCCGATGACGAACAATGTGATGCGGAGGTTTGGGACAAGCTCAGCCTGAGTTTCCGTCAGGCGCAATTGGTGCTCGATCAGAACCGTGTCTTGATCCAGCAGGTGAACGAGAACCACCAGTCCAAGATCCCGGACAATCTCGTGAAGAATGTTGCTTTGATTGGCCAGATTAATGGTAACATCTCCAAGGTTCTGTCTATTTACTCTGATTTATCAATCGATTTCTCAAACATTGTTCATCAGCGACGGCGGCAGCGGGCTACCATGGTCTCTGCCGAGGACGGCAAGGATTAGAAGATTTACAATAAGGCGGCGGAAAGCACGCCCAGGAGAAAGTGCAGTAATTCTTTGTTACTTTTGAGCTTTGATACTTTTTACTTTGCCATCCAGGATGTCTGTGTGGGTATACTTATTTGATCTAGGAGTTGTTTCATAAAATGTGTCAGTCAGGGTGTCATTATTTGATTATGTTTTGAGATAGTAGATTGACAGGTCATTATCGAAGGAGAAGTTGTTTTGCGTATTTGATGACGGTATGTCTAAATATGAATTATTGCTTATTTTGTGCTCTGTTATGTTGTTTCCTTTGTTATAAGGAGGATTGAAGGTTGCGGGTCTGCATTTCTGCATTATCCACCCGCAATATGAGGTATTTATGTTATGTTTTTCTTTTTCTTTTTCTCATGCCGCCTTTGTCATTATTATTTTGTTTACTATCTCAAGCATGAGCTCATTGTGCTTGATATAACTGTCTGATTTATTTTACGAAAATCAACGTTTCAAGATGTACAAGGAGCATTGCTGTATGGAAAATTAATACATTCTATTTACAAGGAGGCTTATTTGAACTGCATAGTCATTCTGTAATTTGAACTGGTCGGTGTGGGACATTTATAGCTTAATTGGGGATTTGGACACTGAATAGCGCCATATGATATTGCTAATCCTTTTGTAGCTTTCATTTACTTCTTTTTTATATGCTGGGCACCTTTCTATGCTCTATTGTCGATACATGTGTTATTCACTTTCACTCTTGAATTTATTGCTATGCTTTTTTTGCTAGAAGTTATTGCTATGCTTTTAACTAGATGTGGACGCTGCAATAATTGTGAAAGGAATTCAAAATTTGACATGATACAATGTTCTGTTACTGCCCTGTGTAGCTTTTATGAGTATATTGATTTTGTTGACAATTGTCTGTCTTGTTCATATCACAATTGATGGAATCATTATGGCAGCTTGGAGTTGTTGAATGCGTATTTTGTGTGTAAATTTGACTGATGCTTCTTCAAATTTCTTCTCTATATTCTTCAGAGATTGTAGCCAGGGATATCTGGTACGAATTACAGGGCTGATCTTCCAGAGATGCTTTTTGTGTCTGGTTAACTGGAACCCTTCATTTACCTATACCCAAACATTTAAACTCCTAGGATGATCTTGTGCATTTTTATTGCCCTACCTTTCTGGAGGAGCCTTCTTTTGTTGAGGTTGCTTTTGACAATCTGTGCTTGACCTTAGATGAAGTGGTCATCTTCTCTCGGACTTTAGACGAGTCCTCTTCTCTTGGACCAATGGTTTTGTTGGTTTCCAATGTGAAACTAAACACCCTCAAAATTGATTACAAATGAGGGTCGGTTCAGTTTTTGTCATGTTAAGACCAGTTGGTTTAGCTTGGTTTTGTTGTGATTCAATTTGAGTAAGAGGGATTATTCCATACTCATCGTTTGTCTTTTGTTTACTGCCTGGCATATTCTATTACTAGTATTGAATGGGGGAAGCAATGTTAGCAAATATCCATTGCCAATAGATGATTCTCTTTCTGTGTCTAGTCTCAAATTTTTTGTCTCTTCAGAGGGATGATCTCTCTCTTTTCCGGCGAATAACGATTTAATGCTTTTGTTATTTTATAATGGCGTTTCTTTCTACTGCAACTCATTAGTTTTGGTACATTTGATTTGACTTCAACTGATATATTAAATGTTCTGCTCATATTATATACTTGGTTGGTTTTGGTGGGCTTTTTTTTTTCGCTTTTCTCTTTTGGGGTTTGATTTTCCTAGACTCCGGGCGCCCCCGGGGGGGGGGGGTAGTTCATTAAATTGTACCCGAGTTTCTACACAGGTTAACTCTCGTAGTTCCGTTATTGTCTAGCTTGGAATCACAACTGAAAATTTGGCCAGACTATGTAGATGGAATTGAAATCTGAACAAAATATAACGATGAAATGTAGAAATTTTAGGCCTGTTTGGTTGCTTATAGGAGAAGTAAATGGTAATATTTGTTTGTTGCGTTTCATACTTTGCTGTCAATTCAAAGGGCATGGGACTAGATTCCATGTGGTTGGGAGCCTATAGCCGGGTGAAGTAATGAATTACTCCGCTTGTCCTATCTTATAGTGCAAAAAGAGAAGATTAATCTCGATTTTATTTATGAAGTATTTTACTATTTTTTATATTTATCTTTACCTGACTACCTTTATTAAATGTTAAAAAAAATTTAAGTAGTTTTTTTTATTATTAGAAGATAGAGATGAAAAAAAATTATTAATAGTAGTTCTTTTTATATTAGAAGATGGAGATGAAAACTTATTAAATTTTAATATAAAGTTAATGAAATTTAAAATTTTTCTTAATTTCAAAAAAATGTGTGAAAATAATTTATAAATATGATTTGAATAAATATCTAACATGCCCTCCATTATATGAGTATAGATGTGTTTGTTTTTTCATTTTTTTTTAATATCAGGATTATTCTTGTCATTTTACTCTTATGTTTCCATTCGTTTATCATACTTATCCTGCGAAATAAACCACGGGAAAGGTGCACTGTTTTCATTCCTAGTTTCTTATAAAATCTAACTGAAGAAAACTCGTTTCATTGCATTCATTCTTTTTTAGCTGCCATAGGCTTCAATTTTCGTAGCACGTGGGCCCTTAAAGCTAGTTTATCGCTAATTGTAACACACGAGAACTCTTGTTAAAACTTGTTCCAACGCATCCGTAGCATGACCAATTTGAAGGTTGATTATCAAATTAAAAGTTCGGTGAATTGCTAGATTCAAAGATTGAATGAGGGCCCTCGAGTGACATTATTCTGCTCCTGATTTGCTGGATGGTGGCTGACTCCATTTAGGATGCTTCTTGCAAGAACACATCTTCAAATATGTTTCATCCATCTTTGAACGTTGTGATCTCCATACGGTAAGTGGATTCACCGACAACCCCCCTGCAAAATTTACTTCTAGTGCTTGTCCTTACAGAATAGCATAAACATCAAGCACCATGCAATTTACACACTCACTCACTTCCCTACACACGTGTCCCATCATAATGAGTATCTCACGTTAGCAAATGCGGCGGATGTTTCAACTTCTTTACTACGTTAATTCGCAATGGATGGACTTCATATTTGCCCTTGGCCTTTTTGGGTTTAGTTGAACTTCTTTACTTTTTTTGGTTTTTTCTGGGCCAGAACACTTCTTTACGTATCAAGTTACGCACAAATGAGAATGAGATTTGTACATTTTTGTTTTTGGTCATAGCATTGCCCTATTAAATAAGGATAGCTATGGCATGATATGAACTGTTTTCTTTATGTATAATTTAATTAAAAATATCTTATAATTTTAAGAGGTGGTTTTTATGTATCAAACATTTCATAACTTGGATGCTCACTTAATTTAATTAAAAATATCTTATAATTTTAAGAGGTAATTTTTATGTATCAAACATTTCGTAACTTGGAAGCTCACTTAATATGAATATAAAACCAATGACAAAATACACATTATTTAATCCGTGACAAATTATAATATTGCTCATTATAAATGATGTTTCAATTCAAGGAAGAGAAAAGCTATCTAATTTCAAGAAATAAATTCATACAAATTAATTGACAGTTTTGAAAGTTGTCTTGAATACATCCGCTGTATTAACTATCAATTGGTGGTGCCCTAACCTCAAATCAACCTTGAAAAAGATTGAGACACTAACCAATTGATCTGAAAGATTATCTATCCTTGACAAAGGATACTTATTCTTGATAGTTACTTTGTTGAACAAGCTAAATAATGGCAAGAAAAGAAAATGTTTTAAGACAAATCAAAAAATCCTTGTCCATCAAGAGTCAAAATAAAATTTAGTCAAATGAAAACCACTGAACTTGAGTTTGAATTGGTATTTACAAACTAAAATTCTCACAAGCTAGAGCTTATGAACTAAAATAAAACAAGAATAAATTTTTGTAACATGATTTATATTTAAATACTTTTTTAAAACAATTGCTGGACAATTTGAAACATGTTTAAATAATATAATTAAAAAACATATACTCCCTCTATTTAAAAATATAAAGCATTTTTAATCAAATTTCACCTCTCAATAAAACAATTACTTATTTTCAAACTAATTCTATTTTTTCATATTTACTCATATTAAACATCTTATAATAAATATAAAATCACTATCAAGGGATTTTTTTTAAAAAAAGGCAATGATTACATCTCAAAAGACTAAAAATACCTTATATTTTTTAATATCCAACTCCTCAAAAAAAATATACCCCATATTTTTTAACGGAAGGAGTATGTGCAATAACCAAAAAAGACAAACTTAAAATTATACAAATAAAAAATTCAAAATATTATTAAAAAGAATTATTAATAAATATTAAAAATTTAAAAAGACATTATTGGTAAAAAAAATAGAAAAAATTAATCATTTAACCTCTCTATTTTAATTCAATTACTACTTAATTCTTAAATTTTAACTCACTATAACTTAATTTATATATTTTTAACTTATTTGCAACTAAATCTCTAAACTTTTGTTACAATTCAATTTATATAATTTCAATCACCTAAATATTAATATCTATATTTAAAAAAATTATAAAAATTCAAAATATTTTAAAATTTTAAGATTTATTATATTCATAAATATTAAAATTATATGTTAAACTTTTAATATTTATAATATTAGTAATAAAATTATAAATATTAAATTATGTGAAAATTTATTACTAATATTTTAAATTATTAAACCTTTTTAATCATTATAAATATTATAAATACTAAAAGTTCAAAACATTTTTAATCTTTATAATTTTATTTCATAAAATATAAAAATTAATATTTAAATTATTAAAACTATAAATATTAAATTGCAAAAAGTAAAGTTCATAGATTAAATTACAATAAAATTAAATCATAAAAATTAAGTTACAATGAGTGAAAACTACAGGAATCAAATGATTAATTTTCTCAAAAAGATAGTAAAAAAGACTAGTTATATATTGCATATGATATATTATTATATCTGTTTAATGAACAAAATACATACATATATATATAAATTACAAATAATAAACCTAAAACTTATGTTAGGAAGAAAACTGCCGACACAACCCATTAAGCTGAGAAAAATAGCTTCAGGAAACTTAGGTTAAGAAAACAGAAGCCAATTTCACTTAAAAGGTCATCCAACACATGAGGGAAATGCCCAACCAGCTCTGCGCTTCGAAATCTGGGTTTGGACACCCAAACTCTACAGCCAAACTACAGGTTATACAATGCAGCGTCAATTTCCAACATGCAATGCACTCACCTTCTGAGAGAAGCATTTGCTGCTCATCACCAAGGCCACTTTTTTGTCGTTTCATAAGCTAAGGCCCTTTTACTGAGTCTACTTCACAAAGGCTGATCTATTAGTAACTTACTAAACGTTTTATATAAAAGTTCCGTAGATGCAGTAATAAAGGAAAATGGATCATTTGGAAAGATGTTGGTTGAAAAATAGAAAGTGCATTTATAATGGGAGTTCACCGCTATCAGCAATGACGACCTTGCTCTTGGGAGTGCCACTTTGCCTTCCTTCAGCCTCCACCTTGTACACTACATCCATTCCGGAAAGCACTTTTCCAAACACCACGTGCCTTCCATCCAACCTTTTGTTCATCAAATAGGAACTTCCATTAGTTAGGGCTTAGAAGTTTCTCACTTCATGGGAGTATTGCAGAATGAATTGCATGCTTATCCGCGAACGCCTAGCAACTAATTATATCTTATCGCCACATTACAAAACCATACAATCCGCATGCAGTTACAAGGAAGGCAAACCATTGCTGATTGATTGCAACTTCAATTTTAAGTTTTCATGCACCACTGTCATTACCATGAATTTTTTTAAAAATAAAAAATTGAGACAGTGAATACAAATTCTATATTTGTTACTTGTTTTTCTACTGTAATAAAGTTCTTGATGGAGAGAAAATTACCAGGTAGTTGTCACAGTTGTAATGAAGAATTGCGAACCATTGGTATCAGGACCAGCATTTGCCATTGATAGAATTCCTGTTCACACAGAAGATAACATAAGCTTTTCCCCGCCATAGTCATGGCTTTTATGACAGTATAACTACTAAAACAACAATAATAGGTAACCTGGTCCAGTATGCTTTAGCTTGAAGTTCTCATCAGCAAACTTCTCTCCATAGATTGACTCCCCGCCCATTCCGTTGCCATGGGTAAAATCACCTCCTTGGATCATAAAGCTGGGAATAATCCTGTGGAATGAACTGCCCTTGAAATGCAGAGGCTTTCCACTTTTTCCAGTTCCTTTCTCCCCTAATAATTGGAACCAAACACAATCAATCTTATAAAAATATCTAGAACACAAATTAAGTTTAAACCATTGATATCAATTTGTAATACTATTAATACTAATGTGAAGGGGTAGGGAGAGATTATTGCTTAATGGATTCAAAGGTCACCGTAAAGAAGCATCTAAATAGCAGAGGATTGTTCTCAAGAACTGAACATTTACAATTACATGCACATATAGCCTAAATTTGTTTGCGTGAAAGAGCAATCAAATTAGAAGAAATCTCTAATTTACATTAGTTCTTGGTTGAATGTGTGATTAATGGTGTTATGAATTCACGTCTATGACACAGTAAAAGATGAAGCCATAAAAACACGCTTAAAATATAGGGAGAATGATAGTTAGGTCTCTTGTAAGGGACTTATCTATATTTTGGTGCCTTTGAATTAGGAACCTTTCGAGACTGACAAATGACAACTATGATATAATATATTAATAATTATTTTTGGGACAAAGGGACCAAGACATAAATAAAGTCCGTTACAAGGGATCTAATTGTCATTCTCCCTAAAATATATTTGGTAATATTCTGCGATAGAAAACAGCAGAAACTGGCCCACCTGTGCAAAGAGCTCGAAAGTTTTCTGCAAAGGAAGGTCAAAATAAGATTTCAGTTAATGGAAACGATAATAAGCAACAGAATGCAAAGATCTTCAAAAAGCATACCTGCAGTTTTTGGAACTGTCTTCCCATAAAGACCCATTACAATACGACCTGCAAGTCAGTGATCACAACGTAAATACAAAAAGTAACAATCTAATACCAAAATTTAGAGGGGTGTGGGGAATATAATAATCCAACATTCAATTCCACTGTGGCTAATATTTATTTCTATAGCAAAATATCCATTAAGAATTAATATGTTACTGAAAGAGAAATTTTGGTTTGTACACTGACTGGATTGCAGTTCTGCCATGACTCAGCCAGACTATCTCTTAGAGGCTAAAGCAAAGAAGGGAATTCCATCTGCTCTTTAATGGAAGCGTAGGTTCAACTTAAAAGTGGCCACGCTTGTTTCCTTGTCGGTGCCAATTATTTGTGTATCAAATCAATGAAATTTAGTTTCGCCTAGAATTTCTAAATATATAGTCACACACTCACATGCTGTCAGGCTACGCTGAAAATTTTCAAAACAGAAACAACGATTAACTTCTGATTCACTCTATCAGGGTGAATCAGAAGTACTAAAACCTCTTTTTTTCCCCCTCATAGCTATGATATATTATATATATGTAATAAAAAATTATGTGAGTCCCATCTGAAATTATTTTCTCAATTCAGTTATTCATAGATAAATATTTCTCAATTTAGTTCTTCATATATAAATCCGTTATCAATAAATCGATGGACCAGTTTGACACATCTCTTCTCTAAGAACGAAAAATCAATTAATCAGACTCTAGATTGGAAAACACTCCATGCGATCGATAGGCGAAAGTGAGGTTTTACTCACATATACAACAAAGCAAGAAGTGTAACTTCGATTAGAAGTACATACCAGCAGGCTTTCCGTCAATCTCGACGTCGAAATAAACCTTGTGTGTCACCTCTTTCAAATCCTCCTTCGACTTCTTCGCCTGCAACCGAAATATCCTTTAAAGATTATGCATAATCAAGATCAAAAGAACAGAATTAAGCGAACTAGCAAACAAGTTCCAATGTTTGGAATCACTTAACCAGTTAATATGCCCCACTTAATCTAGTCAAACACAGCAAACAAAGAAGCTCAATTGCTGATCAATTCCGTGGTTTTCAGAAAGATCCCGAGACGAAGATCGGATCAGAAAGAATACAAAGAAATTGAAACAGAAGAGAGGAAACCTGGATGAGAGCGACAGTGCCAAAGAGGACCAGTGTCCCGAGCAGCAACGACGTCGTTTTCGCCATCCCTAAGGTTTCCAGACCTTCTAGTTCGCCGACTAGCTCCGCGAGTAAGGCTGAGAAGCGAGAACGAAGAAATGGTAGTTTCCTAATTTTCCTAGATATATAGAAATGCCCCAGTTTTGTCATCCGACCAATGACTCTGTGACACGTAGGCATTGTGCGGAACTAGTTGGATTCGACTGGCTTGGAATCGAGAATGGGCCCCACTCTTCGGGATCTCAGACTATGAGCAACTATCAGGCTTGGACATAGAGACATAAACTCGGATCAGCGCAATTGATTCATATTTTTCGATCCATATGATTGGGCTTCGTTGGCTTTCGATTGCTTTACAAAAATTTCAAAAACTAAATATACAATAATTTTAATTAAATAGATTGTGCCTCTCGCGTCAAATCAGTTGATTTCAACTTAAATATTTTCCATCTATCGCCGTGAAATATTTTTCATATAAATAAAAAAATCTCTAAAAAAAAAAAGATGTTGAATCATTACACTTGATATGCTTTTTTTTGGGGGAAGTTACACATAGTATAAGTTTCATTTGGAAATGTTGTGACTTCTTTTTGGGTGCTTGTTATTATCATAATTCCAGAATACAGGATTTCTTTATCCCCCATAATGGGGTACTCTGACAGTGGATGTGTTACTGGTTTAAGGGGGAAAAAAATTATTTTGACAGAGCTTCATTATATGCAGTGCTAGCGGAAAAATACTCAACGTCTTAGGGAAAAGAACATTGACCGCTTATATCCGTCACCATATAAGGATGTAGAATTTTATGGAAGAAGACAGCAGTCCTACGTTTTGCGGCAACTTTCTAACAATTGTATTCGGCAGTTTTTTTTTTTTTTTTGCCTGAAAAAATAATTGATTCAACGTGGTCGCTTAAAATTTACTGTAAGTTTAGCACATAGAAAAGTGGTTTTCAAAAAGAAAGTGAAAAATAAATCTAAAAAATGATATAGGCGTCTCTCTCATTTTTGTTTTAAAAAATATTTATTTTATCTATTAAAATTGTGCGATCAAATCTCACTAAAAAGTGAAAATTTTGTTTGTAAACAATATATAAATATTTTATAAATGTTTCTTAAATCTAAAATATATTTTAACCCTAATAAATTTTTGAAATCTAGCGTACCTAAATTTTTTTATGCCAAACAAAGAAAAGGTAAATTCCTAAGAGTGACAGTGATGCTATGCAAGGAAAGGGGAATCAAGAATGCGGTCAAATAAATGCGTCCAAAAACGAGAAAGGAACAAGGTCAGATACTGTGAAGCGATTTTGTTTTCGGCCTGAAGTGGAAATGAATCTTTTGAATTGAGGGTGACCGCATTGTTTTCAGATCTAAAATGACCAAAACAATCTATCGCATCGTCATTTGGAGAAAAACGTACCTTGGTCCAATCATTTGGCACGTTTTGATAATTGATCTAAGTTGGTTCGTTTTGATTCGGATGATTCTTAAAAATTCAAAACCCAAAGCGATTGAATCATTTTGGCCCGTAATTTCTAAACAGTTTTTTGCTTATTATTTAGCTAGATCTTCTTATAAGAGAACTTTTGTATATTTTGATCAAGTCTTCCTTTCCTCAATAGTATATGAATCATTAAAGAAATTCTTAGTTCGTATGATTAATACCGTCAATAAAAATTAACTTTAACTATTAATTGATAAAAAAATAATTTTAAAAATTATAATAAAAAGATCTAAAATATCATACAAAATTTTTTCCTATTATTTTCTCGTCAATTGACTATTAAAATTAATTTTTATTAAAAGCAAGGTCAAATTGAATCATTTGTAAAAGTTGAGAGAATAATTTATACAATATATAAAATTATAGTCTATGGTGCTATTGAATCAAAAATTTAAAAGATAATTTATTTATTTATTTTTATTAAATAAATATATATATATATATATATATCTTTAATAGAGAAAGCATCAAGCATCCTTTATTGAATTGACTTTGGACCCTTAAAGTAAATAATTGGTGCCATCTCATTCATTGGTTAGAAATATCTATCAATATATATAATTTACTAAAAGTTACTCCCACAGTCCTAATGTTTAAAGTATTTTTAGACAAAATCACACTATTAACAAGGCCAATTAAATATCCTTTGCAAGTTACAACCCTATTTTTTAAAATAAAAATATACATTTTAAAAAATATTTTTCATTTAATATTTCATTTAAAGAATATTAAGGAGAATTAATATATGAGAATAGTAATATTAGAAAATCATCATTAATAAAATTTATTTTTATCAAAGTATTTTATATTTTGAGACGCCAAATCTCTTTTAAAAATATCTTATAATTTGAGATGGAAATAGGAATACTAACTCTTGTTAAAAAGAATAATATATTGCCATTCATCTTAAGTCTAATATAAAAAGTAGAGCTAACAATCTTGAGATTGAGATAAATTGTAATTGTTCTATTGAATAATATAGCATTGCTTACCACTGGCCTTACAATGGCATAAAAGGTTATTAAATCTGTGAGTTTAAGTAAACTTATGATATAAATATAAGTTCATATCACAAACTCAAATTATAAACTCGTAAAAATTAACTTCTATTAATAAACATCTATTAAAAATTATTATTAAATAATTAAAATATAAAATATGGTCATAATTTAATTTAAATATATTTAAAATATAAATCATTAAATTTAAATACATCTACGTTAATAAATTATCATACAAAATATAGAAATTTTAAAACAAGAAAACTTATTTTTAATATTTTTTATTTTTTATGAATATTATTTTTTGTTTTTTAAGTTTTTTTTTCTTTAAGTTGAACCAGGTTCTATAATTTTTATAAACCAAATTTTTATAATATGTACTTAACTCATTCAACTTTAAAAAAAATTAACAAGCTTAACAACCTTACATCTAGTTTGAGTTTATAAATTAATTGACATAATTTTGTAAGATAAAAATGTAAAAATTATAAACTTAAAGGTAATTTATGAGTTTAATTAAGTTTGTATCTAGTCTGAATTTATAAGTGAGTTAATATAATTTTATAAATTAGAAATACAAAAACATTAAATTTGAAGAGTTTGACAATTATGGTGGCATGTACACTCTCTTAAAAGTGAAAAGTTGTAGGCTTGATCTCACTTATAACTTCAAACCGATAATGCTTGCTCTTGTAATTGAAAAGAAAAAGGAATATGGCATTGTTCTTGTCTAAAAATAACTAAAAAATAATAATCCTTCATACTTTTGATTAGATTATCACTCAACTTGTAATGTTTTAATACTATCAGATCAAAAAAAAAAAAGTGACTCAATCCTTCAAATTTTAGCTTATTATATTATTGGTCCATTTTATGAGTTGGTTACAACTCAACCCTTCAGTGATGCACTAAATAATTTGTTAAAACAAAAAAATAATATATTAAACAGTTCAAATTTGAGAAAATGAATTAGATTAATTGAATTTTGAGGACTGAATTGTAACCAAATTAAAATTATGCACACATATATAACAAAATTACATAATTATCATAATACACTACAACATTTTGAGGCTATAACAACAATTAACTTTGCAACAGGTAAAAAACTATTACCTATTCTTATAATAGGCAACGGGTTTTTTAATGTTGCATATATAGAGTATTTTAAGCAACATGTGAAAACTGTTGCTTCTTATAAAATAGGCAACACATTTATACCCATTGCAAGCTTATTTTCAAATAGGCAACATAAAGTACTTGTCAACCATGACAATTATGATTAGGCAACAAACATAAAGTGTTTTCTATTTTATTTCCACTTACCCACCTTAATTTTTTTAATCTTCGCATGTTTTTATGTTTTGTTAAATAATTATTTTTATTAATTTATTTAATAACTTTTCAATTAAAAATATGAGAAGAAAACCTCTAAAGAATCATGAGAATAACCCAAAGCCTCTGAATCTGGCGAAAACACTCCTTTTAGACCCCAACCTGAGAATCTCCTAGTCTCTAAATCACATCTTTGCTTTGAAGCAATGTTGGTTGAGTTTTAGTTTTAATTTGACTCCCTTCATAGATCTAAGGGCTGAAGCTCTTCATCGTGGGTTTGAAGTCATTGGTTTTATACTGATGTTCGAATTGCTACTTCATTTTTGCCTGTTACAGCTCCTTCAATCACAACATCTAAAGGTTCTGCAAATTATTACAGTGAAAAGAGGTAATTTTTTCTTTACCTAAATCAATTTCTTGTCTCGTCATTCCTTTTACTCTGATTATGAGAAACGATTGAGATTGCCAAGATTGATGTTATTTATCTATGCAAGATGAGATTATTGTTTTATTATTTTATATTGTGAATGTGAATGTCTACTTTGTGTGCGAACTAAAACCAGATCCAAATAGCCTTAGGAATAAGGTTCCGTAAAATTTTTAAGTGCTTGCTCTTAATTAAGCGAGAATGGGGCAGCAACATTAGAGACACCAGTATTTTTTTTGTTTATTTAAATATTTACATTCTACTTTATTTTTTAATCAGCAATTAGCATAACCCCACAAGGAAAACCCCTCCTCTTGTCAAGTTCATCCATTTAAAGTGAGAATGTGGCAGCAACATTGGAGACACCAGTATTTTTTGTTTATTTAAATATTTGCATTCTATTCTGTTTTTAATTAGCAATTAGCATAACCCCACAAGCAAAATCCCTCCTTTTGTCAAGTTCATCCATTTAAAAGTCTTCTAGACTTTTACTTTTATCATAGAATCTAGTCTAATAGTGTTCCTTATCCATTATATTGAATCCATTCTCCTTCTAGGCATTCAAGTTGTCTCTTATTTGAGTTTCTTTTTGGAAACTTTGGCTAAAAACTTTACTCTATGTCCTTTGATATACACTTCTTGGAACACCATGCCATAAGAGAAAAAAGACTATTTGTGGGGATATATTAATGTATGTATTAAGTAATGTAAATTGCTATATTTTTTCTTTTGATTGTTTGCAAATTTTCTAATCTTGGAACTCATTTTCTTTTATGTTTTTGTAGAAAAAGTTTATTATTCCAGATGAAGGAAAAGCTTTGGTGGAGTCTACTATTCGAGATGCTTGGTAA